ACACCTATTTTATATATTGTTTCAAACTTAGGTTCAAAGTGCTATTCGAATGTCGACAGAAACTACTATGACCAAAAGATACTCATGCGTATAAACAACACTTTCTCTGCTGGTTTGCCTATTGTTCATTCGAATGCAGAGTTTTCAGCTTTAGTGAACTCAAACACTTTGGCAAACATAAACTTAACCTTAGTTGACGCAAACTTTGTTCCTGTAAAACTTTTATGTCCTATGTATTTGTCAATGACGGCAGAAAGTTTCGAATTGGAAGATGCAACTGGTGAAAGTATTGTACTACAAGAACAACTTCAACAACAAATAGCTCAAGAACAACAAATGCAACAAATGGAACAAATGCAACAACAAGCTCAAGAACAACAAATAGCTCAAGAATAAAAAAAATATTTTTTTTTATTTTTATAAAAATGTACAGAATAGATGTTTCAGATTTTTATGACTTCCAAGCCTTCAGAAATATGTGTCCATTTAGAGACTATAACAAAGCAGTCGAGAATTTGAAACGTTTAGTCATTTATGTCGACTCTGCCCCAGAATGTTATGTCATGAAAGAATGGGATGTAGTCTTTAACAAACCTAAAGCGACAATAGTTTCAGAACAAGAATGTAAACAGAAACTTAAGAAAATAAAAGTCGTACAAGTTGGTATGAAGATGTTAGATGCTTGGGATATCTTATTGTCAAAGTTAGAAGATTTTTTCAGTTCGTGGTATAAAGTTCTATACACCTTCTCCAAACTTCTATTCTATCTTCACTGGATATAAATACGAACAAGTAGAATGGAAAGAAAATGTTATAGAAGCTTGGTTAGACCATGTCAAAGAAATTATATGCAATGGAAACGAAAGAGTCTATGAGTATATCTTATGTTGGTTTGCAAACATCTTACAACATCCAAGTGCTAAAAATGAAACTGCTCTCATCATAATTGGAAAACAAGGAACTGGTAAGAACACTTTCTTTACAGATATCTTATGCAAACTGTTAGAGGGCTATTCGAACCCGAATATGACAAACTTAGAAAACATCTGCGGTAAATTTAACTCTTCAATAGAGAATATGAAACTTATAGTATGTAACGAACTTCAAAGTATAGATACAACAAAAGTTTTGAACTCAGATGCTTTGAAGAGTCTTATAACAGACAAAGTTGGAGTTGTTGAAAGAAAATATAAAGACCAAAGAGTTTGTGAAAATGTTGCAAATTTCATCATGGTTTCAAACAACGCCGTTCCGATGAAGTTAGAAAGTTCTGACAGAATATGTAGTTGTCAGAACGTCAGATTCTCATATGCAAGATACAGAATATTTTGACGACTTAGCAGAAACTTTGACATCTGACTTTTACAACCACTTGTTCTCATATTTCATGACATTAGATATTTCTAAGTTCAATCCAAGACAAATTCCACATACCGAAGAGAGACAAACATTGTTAGAAGCAAACAAGAGTGTATATGAACTGTTTATAGATGAGACTAACTTTGAGTGTTTAGATGAAAGGTCATTGTACGATTCGTATAAACAGTATTGTCAAGAATATGGTTATATGACAGCGTCTAAACGAACATTCTTGGCAAATGTCAAAAGTCTTTTAGACGTACAGAATGGTGTATATACAAAGAAAAATTTTTCTGAGTAAATTTTAAAAAAAAATATTTTTTTATCCGATAGAAAAGATGACGAAATTCATCTCAGTAAACAAGTATATGTCAGGACTTAAAGAAGAACTAGACCCATTCACATATTTGAATGTTTACTTCTACCATTTTGAAAAGTCTTCATTTGACAAAGTTTGGAACATCGAACCAGTTAAGTTTGCTATTGTGACTAAAAATGGTGCGAAATTTGAAGACTTAGACATAGAAGGTTTGTTAACAGTCAAAGAAAGTTTTGACAGAAGATTTTCAAACCTTAAAGAAGGCAAAGCATACAAACTTGTTATACCTTATGAACCAAAGAAAGCAGACGACTATGAATATTATGAGTCTAAGATAGTTGAAGTTCAAGGTAAATTGGGTAAAAAGATTTTAGAGTCTAAGCCAGTGTTTGCTCCTAAAGAGGAAGAGAACATTGACATTGACCCAGAAATGTTCTAAAAATAAAATTTTATTTTTACATGTCAAATTTCTTTTTCTCTGGAACTGGTTCTTTCTTCTCTTCTTCTACTTTCTTTTCTTTCTTTTCTCTCTTCTTCTTTTCTGGTGGAGTTATGTCAAACTTCTCAGAACCATATTTTTGTAAAAGTTCTTTGTCCTTTAATAGCTCTTCTATTCTGTTTTCTATTTCATCTTCAAGAACAGCGCATGTGTCTTCTTTGCATTCTAAGAAGTTTTGTTGGACTTCATCTCTCCAAGAGGCGTCATCTCTGTCAACAAGTCTGTCATTGACAAATTTTAAGACTTCTCTGCTTAATGTTTTATGGTTCTTGTCATATTCCCAGAAACAGAACTTTAGAACAAATTCACCTTTCTTGTTTACACTATGTAAGATTTTATGGTCGACAGATGTTTTGCTGTCGAAAAGCTTGTCTCGAATATAGATAGCGAAATCGCTAGACATTTCCTAAAAGATAAAAATTTTAATTTTTCTAAAAATATGTTAGAAAAAAAGTTTGCTGACATTGACAAGAAATTTGAGAATGTTTTAAACAAGAACAAGAGGAAGTTGGAAAATGCTCAGATAAAACCCATACATGACAAGTTCTTATTTGCTCAGAATGGTATAACAGGTCTAATTGCACCACCTGGGTCGGGTAAGACTTTCACTTATCTTAAAATGGCTGCACAACAACAAGAACTAGATGAGAAGAACCCATTCTATGAGTTAGTAGTCATTTGTAGTACTTCTGGTCAATTTGACCAAACAGTCAATTCGTTCAAAGATATTATAAAAAAGTCTAAGTTAGTATGTATAAAAGACTCTGAGTTGTTAGATTGGATAAAGAAGTACCAAAGAAGAGTTTTGAAGTATAATGCTATAAATGAGTATGTCAATTCAAAGTTTAAAGACCCAAATGAGGAAATGCAGAGAATATTAGAGAAGAAACACTTCAGAAACAAACAGAAAGAGATAGAATACATTTCGAAGAAATTGCAATCTTACGATTGGAAGACTTACCCTCATAGATGTCTTCTTATCTTAGATGACTTTGCTTCTCATCCTTTGTTAAAGAACAGAGAACAAGACATGTGTCGAATTCTTAAGAAGCTCAGACACTTTAACATTTCAGTTGTCATTTGTGTACAGACAGCAAAGAGTTTAAGTAAGGATGTAAAGAGAATACTTACTGATATCATACTCTTCCCCGGATTGTCCGAAGACGATTTCATGGAACTTATGAAAGAGTCCATGGCAGGTAAGTTTGACAGACATGAACTATGGGGGAGGTACAAAGTCATACAAGACCCTCATACTTCTTTCAGAATTCACATCTACGCGAACAAAGTTCAAATTGTAAAAAGTCAAGCGTAAAAATGTAAGTGTTTGAGTCTTAGTCTGTTGTGGTGCTGGGGCTGTCGGTTCTTCTGGCTTTGGAATGGACTCGGTTGGTGGTACGTCAGTCATCCGTTTGTGTCCTGTCGGAAGGAAGGACTTTTCCTGTCGGAAGGAAGGACTTTTCCTGTCGGAAGGAAGGACTTTTCCTGTTGGAAGGAAAAACTTTTCCTGTCGGAAAGAAAAACTTTTCCTGTCGGAAAGAAAAACTTTTCCTGTCGGAAAGAAAAATTTTTCCTGTCGGAAAGAAAAATTTTTCCTGTCGGAAAGAAAAATTTTTCCTGAAGGTCGGCCAAAAAGTTCTCAATTTTCGAAAATTTGAATGGTTTACGGACGGACAACTGGAAAAATTTTTCCTGTTGGAAGGAAAATTTTTTCCTGTTGGAAGGAAAATTTTTTCCTGTTGGAAGGAAAATTTTTTCCTGTTGGAAGGAAAAACTTTTCCTGTTGGAAGGAAATTTTTTTCCTGTTGGAAGGAAAAACTTTTCCTGTCGGAAGGAAGGACTTTTCCTGTCGGAAGGAAGGACTCGGAATGCCAGAAGGACTCGGACAAGACAATTTACCATCTAGAGCTACCTGAGCCATCTTTGGTGTCAAGCTTGAAAAATAAATGGTTCATTTACTCTTCCTCTTTGAAGTTATCGAAATACTCTGTTATCTTTTCCTTCAGTAGCGGCAAATCTTCTTTGAATGTAAGTATTGTACAACCTTTCATATCATAGTGTGTTTGAGGTAACGTATCTTGAACTATCTGTTTAACATCTTCATTTGGTGTCATTGAAATCGGTAAGTTTTCGCGATAGAACCAATTTCTGTCAGATTTGTAAATCTTAGCTAAGTCGTAAAAGCTTTTGTTGTTTCTTCTGACTAAATGCAACATAACCATATCTCTGTCTTCTTCATTTTCCATCTCTTCAGTGTAAATCATATACTTATAGTTCTTTTCCTTTCCTTTTGGTACCGAACGTGGTATTCTTTTCTGTATGTTTTTGTCTTCTTTCATCATATCTTCTCTCTGCTTTGTACAAAGTTCGTCAAGTAGCATAAGTATGTAGATTGCATAACGAGGTGAAGCCCACATTGCTATTGAACTAGCTAGGAACTTATGAACATATATACCTTTTAGATGCGATGGTAAGTTTTGTCTGTCTTGGTACATCTTTTTAAGTTCTACATGTTCAAACTCACTGAGGAGTTCATGAGTGCTATTTAATTCAAACCAGTCTTGTGGTTTCTTGGTATCTGGAGCAAAACATGCTGTCAAAATACTTTGCATTTGGTACATGTCATCTTTGACCGAACGAATGAGACGTAACTGTTTGTTAAACTGTATGTACTCATATTCTTCATTTATGGCTTCATGAACGATAGCAGTTGTTGTGTTCTCTGTTGTTGTCATTTCTGTCTTTACATACAAAATAAAAAAAATATTTTATAAAAAACTAGCGTTATTTTCTATCTTGTATAAAAGACCAAAAATAAACGCTTTACATGTATTTTTCAGCAACTTCGTCAAATAATTTTATAGCACTATCTATCTCATCTACTTCAAACGTTTCTTTACCTTTCGTGGGAGCACCATACATTTTCTCAAACTTTTCAAGTAGTTCTGTTTCAGCAGCTCTCATATCATTTACAAACACAACCTTAACTCTATTGACTGTAGAGTCATATCTTTGAGTTATATTAAATGTTCTTCCTATCTTATATCTCTTTGTATTGAAGTCCTTCGGTTTCTGAACGATGTAAAGTAAGCCTTCACTGCAACGTTCAGTATCGAATGAACCATATGTTATGAAATTATATCCAACAACTGGGTCAATCCATAACAAAACTATCGGTATAAGACTTTTGTCGATGAGATATGCTGTAGTTCCATAGAATCTTACCGATATCATAAGCTCAGGATTTCTTGTCAAAATTTTCTGAGTAGAAGCAATTCTAACCCAGTCCTTTGTTTTCTTTCCAGATGGAGATATAATGTCTGACAAAGAATATTTGTTGTATTTCTTTGAGTATCTTACGTTTAAATCACCTATTCTAACCACTTTGGTGTCATTGTCTATCTTTTTAACTGTTTCAAACTCAGTGTTTAACATTTCCTGTCTTTACATACAAAATAAAAAAAAATATTTTAAAAAAACTAGCGTTAATTTTATTTTTTCTATCTTGTATAAAAGATATGATTTCATAGAGTTTTTTTACGATTTTCATGAGTTTTAGGCAACCCCTGTAAAAGTCGGGGTAGCATTTTTTCACGATTTTCATGAGTTTTTTCACGATTTTCATGAGTTTTAGGCGAGTAAGATTTTTAACGTACTCGCATTTTTTTACGATTTTCATAGAGTTTTGGCGACCCCTGTAAAAGTCGGGGTCGCATTTTTTTACGATTTTCATGAGTTTTAGGCGAGTGGTTTTTTTTACTACTCGCAATTTTTCACGATTTTCATGAGTTTTTTTTACGATTTTCGTACGGAATCTCTATCCTCGATTTTCCTGGGGTAGCAAACATATGAGGAAATTCATGAAATTTGGTCATTTTTTTACGATTTCAGGGATTTTTTTTACGAAGTGTCAAAGTTCACTTCGTCAAAAAATACAGTTATATCATGAAATTTGGTCATTTTTTTACGATTTCAGGGATTTTTTTTACGAAGTGTCAAAGTTCACTTCGTCAAAAAATACAGTTATATCATGAAATTTGGTCATTTTTTTCAGCAAAAATATATTTTAGGCGAACCAGGTCCCTCGGTCCCTCGGTCCCTCGGTCAAATGAACTTCTCTGAAAAAGTGTGACAACATGACATTTTGACAACAGTCCAGGAAATAGACTTCATCGTATATGTTTTGTCATGAATTTCATCGTCAATGAGCGTAAATCAGACAAAAATATATTTCTACCATAAAGTTTCACAAGCGTTTTACATGGTATATGTTGTGATGGTTCATGACTTTAAACAGTTTTGTAGCTTCTATTTCTTCACGAAGGATATCAAAAGTTTTAACGATACCGAAAGTTTCTTTGTACTTCTTCTTGACATCAGATAGAAGGAAATCGTTAGCAGTTGGATAGTTTTTGTTCAGAAATGTCAACATGTCCATTTTATCTTCTGCTGGTTTCTCTGCTTCTTTCTTTAAGTCAGCATAGTCTTTTCGCATACGTTCTATCTCTTTGACGGAGTAGTTATATTTCTTCATTGCTGCTTTACATTTTGAACATTGTGGGTTCATTTTTGCGTTATATTCTGAAATTTGTCCTGCTAAAACAAGTAAGGCGTAAATGGTTTTCTTTAACTCAAAAGTTGCTGGTTTTATCTGTTGGTTCCATACTTTACCTCTTCTATCTTTATCTCTTATCTGCCATACACATTTTGCAACTAACGAAACAAAGTTGTCGTAGGTCTTAAACTCCCCAGATTTATATATGTCAATGTCCATGACTTTGTGGTTGCAATGAAATCCAAGAAACTCATAGTTTACCTTACGTATGAACTTCTTGGTTTCTACTGAGTCAGTTGGTTTCACTTCTATTTCATCGAATTCTGGAATTGTAAGCTTTTGTTGTTGTATTTCAGGAAGTTTAGGCAGATGTTCCACCAGGTCCTGCATTTCATAAAGATACTGTTCATTTGTTTCATCTTTTGCACTACAGTCTAAATCTCCTTGGAGAAGTTCTTGCTTTATCTTCTGGATTTCTGTTTCGAAAGTATATGAAGAAGGAATGAAGCTTTTCATCTCTACTAACATTGAAGTTGGGTTCATGACTAACGAGTTTGGTGCTGTTGTTGCTGACATGTTCTTACAATAAAATAAAAAATATTTTTTTAAAAAAAAACTAAAATATATTTTTGCCGAATTCAAGAGTTTTGTGTGTTTTCTACGGTGGAGCCAAAAATGGCTCGACCTCAAAACAAGCATTTCGTGAAGAATATACCACCCGCCGGAATTCCGGCAGGTGCTTTTTTTATACAAAACATATACGATGAAAGTCTTGACAAAACATGTACGATGAAAGTCTTGACAAAACATGTACGATGAAAGTCTTGACAAAACATATACGAAGAAGTATATTTCCTGTGTTGTTGTCAAAATGTCATGTTGTCACCATTTTCAAAAAGATGTTAGTTGACCGAGGGACCGAGGGACCGAGGGACCTGGTTCGCCTAAAATATATTTTTGCCGAAAAAATGAGTTTTGTGTGTTTTCTACGGTGGAGCCAAAAATGGCTCGACCTCAAAACAAGCATTTCGTGAAGAATATACCACCCGCCGGAATTCCGGCAGGTGCTTTTTTTATACAAAACATATACGATGAAAGTCTTGACAAAACATGTACGATGAAAGTCTTGACAAAACATGTACGATGAAAGTCTTGACAAAACATGTACGATGAAAGTCTCAACAAAACATATACGATGAAGTCTCAACAAAACAAGCATTTTGTGAAGAATATACCAACCGCCGGAATTCCGGCGGTTGCTTTTTTATACAAAATTCAACGGGTGAAAGAATACGATGAAGAAGTCTTGACAAAACATTTACGATGAAATTCATGAGAAATTAGATGATGAAATCTATCTCCTGTGTTGTTGTCTAAATGTCATGTTGTCACACTTTTTCAGAGAAGTTAAAATGACCTGGGGACCGAGGGACCTGGTGAGATCTAAAATATATTTTTCAGTACTTTTTCAGCACTTTTCCGTAGTTGTATATGAAAGACAATTCGAGATAAAAGTCATAGTACAAAGGTATAATATGCTGCACACCGTTTGTTGTGAACCAGACTTGAAAGTCAGAGAAACTGTTACTAGGTGGTTCGTAGAATTTAGAAGCAAAGTCATAAAAGTCCTTACCGATACAAAGAAAACTGTTGTTGCTTGAACTGAAACTTGCATGACACATGACATTTTGAGGATCGAACACGTTTCTATAAACTGTCAAATCTGTTGGTGGGAGTATAAATTTAAACGGACCGTCAGGTGGCAATGGTTCGTTCTGGTTTAGTAACCGAAGAAATTGTGCCCAAGAACGTTTGTCCACCCCCCAATATAAAAACTCCGTATCTCTTGGAGGGTTATTTTCAATCCTTTGAAATGAAACTGTGGAATTCATCTTGTCGTATTCTAGTTTCAGATAGTATGTTCCATTTAGTAAAGAGTGGTATTTTTCTTGAAATTCCCAGTAGTATTTGTTTATTTGAGTTTGAAAGTCATTTAGAGTTTTCTCAAGACTTTCGTCTGAACGAATTGTAAAGATTTTCATTTCGTCAAATCTTTCTATTAGACCATCAGAGCCTTTATACTGACCGTGAAAATATACTGCGAACATAAACGCGTTAGTTCTATTTGAAAACAAAACTCTTCTAAATCCTATTGCCTTTGCATCTGAAGGACTTTGAAGCCAACGAACTGGATAGTCAAATCTATATGTACGGGATGAAATTTCTTCATCTGATATAGTCCTACCAGCGTTTGTAAAGATATAGTCTAACGGTTTTGTATCTGCTACTTTTGTTCTTTGTTTTTCAACCTGAAGCATTTTATATATGTAAAAATATACTGTTTTAAAAATGTTTTAAAATGGTATGCCATATAGCTTCTTGAATTTGTTAAGAAGTATTTTAACGCATTTTCCATCTGTATCTCTAGTGTTTACATAAGCATAGCCTTCCTTAGTAAAATATACTTGTAATTTCCTATAGTTTACGCCGGTATAAAAGTAGAAAGAGTCTTGTTCTTCGCTATAGTAGTAAAACTCAAACGTATGCTTGCCATAGTCTGTAATTTCAATTGTTTCATCTTCTAGTTCGTCGACAAATTCGAATACAATATCTCCAATTTTGCCTATGTTCTTACTGTTTTCAGAACAAGTGACCCAACGCAAGTTTTCAAGTCTATTGTCGTTTCTTATACGGTTTATATGGTCTACAAAAGGTAAATTGTTAGGGTTCGGTATAAAATGAGTTGCAATGACAATATGTTTAAAATAGTTTTTTCCACCCATCTTCATAGTAGCATATCCGTCATTTCGCTCCCATTCGCTTAAAACTCTTTTTGTCTTTTTGTTTCTGACTTCAAATGACTCACAACAGTGAATTTCATATTTCTCATCTAACAAACAAGTTTCCCAACGGTCTTCTTCAACAAACTCAGCGTACATTTCAAATAAAATAAAAAAAATATTTTTTTGAAAAAATGTTTTAAAAAATGTTTTAAAAAATGTTTTACTATTTCATGCAATGTTTTATTTCATACAATGTTTTATTTCTGTCCCGTCTTCAAGTACACCCCAGTACTTGCGCTTGGATATTACATGAACTTCGGAAAATACCTTATCTAGCTTAAAAAGGCCCATCTTCTCACCGACTAAACCCATTTCAATGAGTTTGTTATACCCTTCCTCGTTCGTCATGAGTGCGTCAATGTTCTCGTAGTATACCTTCACTTTGGATTTGACATCGGAGAAGAACTCATTGTAGTTGTCAAGGACTGCCTTTGCGAACTGAGGATAAGACCAATGTTCGACAATAGGTTTTACTGTGGTTACTAAGCCATTTTGACCTTCGGTGAACTCGTACTTCAAAACAAAAGGAGAAAACCTTTCAACAAAGTTGTCGACCTTCTCATAGTGTTTACTCTTCATCTTTTGAGGTTTTTTAATGGAATACCCCCATGTCGAGTTCATAAGCAATTTGAGTGTCATTGCAAGTTTGGGATTTGAAGCTTTCCTAATATCATACAGTTGTTGTATGACTTTTCCAACTGTATAGTTCTTTCCTGGGAACTCTCCATCTTCGTTTGGAATTCCAGTCGGAATATATTGGACGAACCTCATGTATGCAGCGTTAAGGTCGACATAGTATATTTTTTCATATGAGTCGAACTTATCGCATCCAATGGGTCCGGTTCGTGGAAATTCAAGTGAGTCTCTTATCTTTTGAGAAACCTCGCCTGTTATCTCATAAACATCGTCGAAGCAACCTGTTTCATATAAAACCTTCTGACCTAACTCAGAAGCTCTCCAATACAATTTGACGTCGATTGGATGTCTCAATGGAAGTTTGTTTATAGCATCTTGAAGTTCTTGCAACCTCATTGGAAGTTCTTCTGGTTCAGGTTGGTATCCGAACAATCCAACTCCTTTTGGAGCTGTGTACTTCTTCTGTGCTAGAACTTTGTCTGGAACAATTTTTGGTCTTACCAACAATGAAAAGTTTGTTTCGTCTTTTGGTACAAAAGTTTCTGTCAGCTTGTCATCTGGAATTGGTTCCAACAAACCTTTCTCGAAAAGAATGTTAACAGCTCTGACAATGTTGCACTTACCTTTTCCGAACAATGGGTTTGTAAGACTTTCGTTCAACATGAAGTGGTTGTGGACAAGTACAATCTTCAACCATGGCAATTTGAAGTCAATAACATAGTCATCGTGCGAAGAACCTTTCTCAGTCGGAATGTTAACTCGGATATTCACATTTGCCAACGGTGCAATCTTTGTCAATTGACTTCTAAGAATGTATCTTGTCTTCACACATGACTCAAGATACTTCATCTTCTCATCTGTAACAAGACCAGAGTTCCTGAGACATGTAAGAATACAAGGTTCATTGACAATTTTTTCAATTGAATTGTAAATTCCATACCTGGTTAAGTTAATGTCAGACTTGTTTATGAACGGGAAGTATCCAGCATGTTGTCTGACTGCTTGAGGGTTAGATTGGTACCATTCAAACTTCACGCTTGCAATTCCTTCAATTGCATTCAAAATGTCTGAGTCGGAGTCAACCATTTGTTCTCTCTTTGTAGTCTTGAAAGCGTCAAGAAGCATTGCGGCTGTTGTGACATTGCCATGTGAGTAGTATATATGACCATCTAAATCTGTTACGGTTAGTCTGAGATTGTATCCTTTCTTATTTCCGTCTTGAATGGCAGCAAGTACACCCATGAAGCCTTCTTTGTTCTTTCCTTCGTCAAAGTTTACTGTAAAGGTTCGACCAGAAGTAATTTTACTTCTAACCTCACGATACTTTTCATATGCATATCTTGTTCTTTCCATGGGAGCATGACCATCCTCTGCACTACCTTTTTTCCTCCTCAAAGGATACAATTGTTCGTCATGTTTCCAGTAGAATCTGGCAAAGCCGTCGTGTCCTTCAACTTGAGGTTCATTAACATCGAAAGGCATGTCCATAAGACGCTCTTCTTCTAACCTCTCTAGTCTGTTTGGATAATTGGCGCGCGCTGTTTCTAAGTCCATCTCGTAGCGAAGACCAGACAATTTGTCATAGACTTTTATGGGTCTTCCCTTCCTATATTTAAACTTCTTTGAAACTCTCCAACCATATCTTTCTAACTCTGCTTTTATTCTAGCAGACCTTCTATCCATTCTATACGGGGGCATTTTTATAAAAATAAAAAAAATGTTTTTTCTTTACTTTACGTAACCACCTGCTACCATAAGTCTTTGACGCCAACCCATACCAGCTAATGAAGGTTGGCTTGGTTTAGTTTGAAAACTAACCTTTGGTTTTGGTTTTTCTTCAGTTTTTGGCTCCCCTTCTTCTATTGGTTTTTCGTCACTTTTCGGTTCATTTGACTTTACCTCACTTGCTTGAACAGTTGTGTCGTCAACATCTTCATAAATATCATATGCCATCTGTTTTTTTTTCCTTTCAACTTTTTGTGTTTGTTGTAAAGTTTAGAATATTTCGACTCTAAGTCAATGAGATGTTCTATAATGAACTGTTGGTCAGTGAAGTAAACTTTTCCATCTGTTGTCTCGAAAATTCCTTCAGACTTCAATATTTTATTTGTGAGAGTCTGTTTCTTTTTTGAGATACTTGCCGTTCCATTTTATGAAAAGTGACTTTGTAGTTAGGGTTTGTATTTCCAGACCTCACACTTTCTATTATTGAATTTTTCTCTTCATCTGTAAGTTCTTTGACAGGTTTTGACAATGGTTCTGAACTTTTTGTTTGTGGTGTCAAATCTACCGTTTCAACTTCTTCGGTCATTTCATCTCAGTAAAAAATTTTAGTTTGGTTTGTTTTCAACTGGTTGTTTAGGTTTTTTAAGTCGGTCTAAAACTTCCTGAGGTATAGGAAGAACTTGACAAACACGTGGTTGTGTAACTGCTGGAAGCCGACAAATCCATCTTGAGCCCATTTGTCTCAATGCTGTATTGTTCATTTCATCTCAGTAAAAAATTTACATTCCCCACGTTTGAGGCGGTTGAGGTTGGTTGTTGTTTACCCACTGTTGTGCATGGTTATATCCTCTGTTAAAGAATCTTTCACCTTGGTCCATAGTGCCTGCTTGGTTATAGTAGTCATTTGCTTTGTTATAGTAGTTTCCTGCTTGTCTTCCTACATTGTCCATCCATCCTTGAACTTTTCCTCTTGTTTCAGGATTTGGAATAAGATTTGCTGCATCTCGTGCTACCTCCCAACCTTTCTGTACAGTTTGTATAATAGGTTGTGCTTTCTCTTTCAGTATACCTAATGTACTCAAAATCTTCCTTCCAATTCCAAATGCACCTCTGGCTAGTGTTCCCACTGCGGGTAAAAATCTAGATGCGACTCCTGCTAATGCGCCAAATAAACCCATTTCTTATGGGTTAAAAATGACGAATTCAAACAAGGACCCGTATGTTTCTAAAGCGACAAAGAAAGCACTCATGGTAAAAATCTTTAGTTCAACACCAAATGCTTGGTTTATGGATATCTTGGAAAACATTCCGAGGTATAGAGAAGATGGACCACCATACTGGCTAATATTTGTCGGTCAAAACACAAGATACTGTGAAGCCATACCATTATGGTCCAAAAATATTTTAGATGTGAAAACTGCTTTGACAATATTCGTTGACAAATACCATCCAACAAAACTGACATCTGACTGTGAAAGTTCTTTCAAATCAGACGATATTAAAAACTATCTGCGTTCAAAAAATGTAAACCAATATTTCATTGTCGACCAAAACCATTCTGCTCTTGGTGTCATTGACAGTTGTATAAAAATCTTAAGAGACTTAAATCAACCACAAGGTGGTGAGGTAGATGAAATGTCATATGACGACAAGTATAGACACTTCTCCATGGCAAAGATGAGACAAGTTTTAAATATTTACAATAGCCGTAAACAAAAAGGTTTGGGAAACCACTCCCCCGAAGAAATGAAAAACAACCCCGACTTAGAGAAAGACTATATATTTAATAGTTTAGTCAAAAGAGACAAACAAGAAAGAATGCCAGGCTTCAAACTTAAGAAAGGTGACAAAGTAAAAATAGAAATACCTAAACGCGACCCATATGAAAATACTATTGACTATGACAACAATGGGAACTCGACAGGTACTCACATTCGTGTTCGTAAAAATAGAAGAAAGTATACAAGAGAATATTATGAAGTTTTAGGCAAACATGGCAAAATGTACAGACTGCAAGCAGAAGATAAAACTACTATTGTCAGACCTCGTTTCAAACTTGTTAAGGTTCAAGGTGGTATACTTTCAAAGACAGTTCCTAACAAATATAAGACAACTCCTGACGAATATGCTAAAGAAGTTGAAAATGACGACTAAGCATTTCTATACCATGCGTAAACTGTCATGTAAGGTGGCATGTAGTCTTTACTCTGTCCCGTTGTTTCCGAATATCCTGAAACGCGATGTGTATGGTTCCTCCTCCCTGAGTGTCATCCCAGTAACAATTTATAGCAAACTTAACGTCGTCTTTAACATCATATCCTTTACCTTTTGTCATTCCTGACCAATCCCAATATCTATGCTTATGCCAACCTGCTTCAGATGTAGTTAAATTATGTAGTGACTGTGTGCAGGTAGTTTTCACCTGAAATCGTTTTACTTCCACCTGTTTCCTTTGAAGAGTTTGCACAATACAAAAACCTGTCGACTATTTGAGTCCAAGTTCCGAGACCAAGTACTACTTCTGGTCTGGTAGAGTTCATTGACGTGTAAATAGAACCTATAGGATATACTGTTTGAAGTATTTCTGTCTTTAACGTTTGAAGCTCTGTTTTGTCTGCTTTTTTATATAACTTTTCTTCAAGTTCATTTACGTCAGAGATGCTATGTCTATGATATTTTTGTGGGTATGTTCCTTCTGTCCATGCGAAAATATACTCTTTTGTTGCATCTACATATCCAGTTATCCATGTCGAGTCTGCTTTTGTATTCCTTAACTCTGTAACACCTTTCTCAAGCTCTTTCAACTGTTGTCCATCTTCCATTAAACCTCTGGTATGACTTGAAACCGTTTGTGTCAACATATCTACAGTTTCTTTGTCGGCTTTAAGGTCTAAACATCCTGAAACCCACCCTGTATTGGCTTTACCTTCTAAAATCTTCGATGTCCGTTCATGGTACCATTCAACCATTTCTTTAATTTTTTCATCTTTTTCATCCACATATTCCTTATCTGCCTTCTTCACTAACGCACTAGCCATACAACCCCTATCTACTTTCTCCTCTAACTCACTGTTGACATATGTTTTGTCAGCTTTCTTTTCAAGGCTAACGTTTAAGTCTGTTATTTCAGATATAGAATGTGTATGTCCAACGTCACTTTTACTGTTTAAGGTTTCTTGTAAGTTTGTAATATTTGCAATGGTATGTGTATGAGTCTTTTTAGAATATTCTTTGTCAGCTCTTGTCACTTCACTTGACATTTTATTGTCAACATATGTTTTGTCTGCTAGTTCAGGATGAGTATGTTCTTTCGTTGCATATGTTGCATCTGCTCTGTCATGTTCTTCTTGAACTTTTTCAATGACATATTCTTTGTCAGCTTTGTTGTCAATATCTGCTTTCAAAAGAAGTTCATCTATAGGCTTCTCGTTTAAAGTTCCTTTTGTTGGATTTACACAGACAGTATGGTTCTTACTGTCTTGAAACAGAAACTCATCTGTCATTGGGTTTATCGTCAGTTTTAAGTTTCCTTCTTTCAATGACTCAGATATCTTAGAATAGTTTGAAAAGTTTGTTGTGTTCTTATTTAGAGCTTGCAAAATGAGTTGTCGGTTGTGTTGTATTTCTCTCATAGACGCTGTTTCTTTCGACATTTTTATTCTAGATAAAATATGCTTTCAATAGAAAAAGAAAATTCAAGAGTTGCTACAACTAAACCATTAGATGAACTTTTTACGAATGTCGGTCAAAAGTTTGAGACAGAGACCGTAAAGCATGAAGGCTATCGTTTTGACTACCCACTAAGATGGCTAAGAGACCCATCTGTCACAAAAGCTATTGGCTTTCGTAGAATGAAGTTCATTTCAGAAGCCATACATGGTTTCCCATTTACGGTCGCTTTTGAAATTCGATACTATAACAAAGAAAAACGTACGTATGAGAAATTTGAACAGGGAAAACTTTTACAAGTTAGTTTGCTTGTAAACTTAGAAACAACTCTTCAAGCTTTTCAAGAAAAAATAAACGATATCTATCTCGAATATGCAAACCAGTTTAACATTGACGAAGGAGAGTACCATCTCGATATTGTTTATGACAGGAAAAATGCAACTGTTAAAATCGATAGAATAGAAGACCTTGGAGAAGACGTTTATATTTCTACAAAATATAACAACTTGGCATGGTATAGATTTTTGAGGATGTTAAATCAGCCTGCAGAATATCCAGTACACCCGAACTTTTATGAAGTCGAAAACCCTAATGGAACATATGAAAATGTTTTCGACTCAGATGCTATTATAGTTCATGCTTCATTTTCTGGTGCACAAAACTCTTTTTTATGCTTGGCAAATGACTTTTACGAAAAACCTACAAAGCTATATGAACCACCAAGTGGAAGTATTTCAGACTTTCAAGTATGGTTTACAACAGATGGAAGAAAGAGAATAGTTCCATTATACCATGCGTTTTACTTAGAACTTAGTCTCATATACAACTACTATCAAACGGTAAAAATATAATTTTAATACGGTTGAGGTGTTGGATTTGGTTGCCAACTAGACTGTGGTGCAGGTTCAGGCTGTTGTATAACAGGAGCTTGTTCTTCTGGTTCAGGGTCTTTAGGTATAATACCAACAAATTGACCTACTCTTTTACCAATATTTTTGACTCCGTTCCAAATTCCTCTTCCTACGGTTTTTATTCCATTCCATATACCTCTTCCAACATTTCGAAAGAAGTTTCCTATTCTTCCAAAGAAACCCATTTTACTATATGTAAAAATCTAATGTCCGCCTAGTCTCTTACGTTTCCTTCTGAGTTCCATAGCATTTTTTAACTGGAGCTCATACATTCTATTTCTCCTCTGGTAGAAAACATACTCTGGGTCAACTCCTGTGTTCGCGTCATCTGCATAGAGTTGTTTATATCCCACTTCAGGGTTTGTATAAAACTCTTTCCATCTCATATTTGCATACCATGGTGGTAAGCCTAACGCAGCGTCATTTGACATGGCAGTTTGCATTTGTACATCTGTTGGCACCTGACCATAGTTTGCCATTGCAGTTTGTATTCTAACTTCATTTGGAATATTCTCTGGGTTTGGTTGTCCAGGTTGCTGTGCATTCGCTAAGTTCTGTGCGTCCATTTTAATATTAGATAAAAATATCTCTTACGAGTACATATGCTGAACATTTGCTGGTATTGGTTCATCTTCATATTCTCTATATCTTTCTGCCACGTCAAATAAGTAAATGACACAATGGAAAAAACCTAAAACAAGTAGTCCTATTTCAAACCACATTTACTTACCAATAAAATTTCTTTGTTATGACACTTTTTCCGGTTTATAGGACCTCTCTCATATTCTATCTTATCGTATCTAAAATCATAGTCATGTATATCCTCTAACCATCTCATGACACTTTCCAAACCACTTTTATCGGATGTAAAGTAAAAGCATGGATGGTTATGTAAAACGTCTAAAGTTTCTAAAGAGTCTCTCAAAGTCCAGTCTACTTGGTATTGAAAATCGTATGTGTTATAGAACGGCGGGTCTACTATAAAGAAAACATTTTCCTTGTTTTTATATTTTTCATACAACTCTGTCCAACGACATCTCACAAACTCTATACCCTCAGTATATTTTTCTATGTTCTCTTTGAAAACCTTTGTATAGTTAAGATATAAAACGTTTGACATAAGTGTTTCAATGTCATGAACTCTTATAGAACCACTATACAATAGTCTAGAAGATATACTATCCCAGTCAATATACTCTGCTTTTTTCAAAACCTCTCTGACAGTATTTTTCTTATCTAATGGTATACGTTCCATCTTACCTATAGGTATCTTTTCTTTCAACTCACTCAATATTTTGTTAGTGTCTGGTATATGTTTGAGACGGTTCATATAGTTGTCGAAGTCATTGCATATAATCTTTGAGTCAGGAAATACAGTATGGCACAAATGAGATATATAGAAACTTCCACCGAACAAATCTACAAATGTTAGACCATTCGGTAGTTTCTTAAGTTCTCTCAATAGAATATCTTTACATCTACTCTTATTTCCAAAGAAGGGTAACGGTGGTTTTGTAAAATTCATTTTATATTTAATAAAAATGTTTTTTCCCTGAAAAGCTACAGAAAAGTGACAAAACATGAAAACTACTCGGTTAAGGTCTTGTCGGTTTTGTAAAATAACCATCCTATCTTGTTAAGACTTCCTGGACTGTTGTCAAAATGTCATGTTGTCTCATTTTTTCAGAGAAGTTCGTTTAACCGAGGGACCGAGGGACCGAGGGACCTGGTGACGTAGCGACGATAGACCCTTACTTGTCCGGACATAGTTCTACTATTTTGAGTCCTCTACCGAAAAGTCAACAGCAACGACTTTCAAAAATTTTTAGGGCTAGAAGGCACGAAGTGCCTGGGAAGCCCGCTTTACCCAAAAAAAACCTCATTTTAGACTTCATTGCATACTAAACATCTTCAGGGGGCTAGAGGGGCGCAGCCCTGGAAGCCCCAATACCTTTTTTTTTTTTTTTTTTTTTACAATGGAAATATTGATACATTATCTGAAATCTTCATCGTTCTTGTAGTGGCAATTTGACAAAAATTTGATTCGTTTTATGTTTTTCCTTTTACTCCTTAATAATGCGAGATCTCTCGATTTCAACTTCACCGGCAACCGTCTAACAATAAATGGAACAACACCAGAAGATGATAGTATCTCAAAATATGATATAGACCAAAATGCAAAAAATCGTTGGTTTGAAGAGCTTTATATCGAAGGAAAAATTAAAACACTAGAATCAGACTGTTTTAGTGATATGGTATGTATAGCAAAAGTAGTAATAATTTCAAATGTGACTGATATAAAATCGAGAAGTTTTGCCAACTGTATAAATCTAACAGAAATACATTTTCCATTATCACTTAGAAGAATTTATGAGAATGCTTTTCAATCGTGTTCCTTTGAAACAATTGAATTTCCACAAGAACTAGAAGAAATTAAAGATTTAGCTTTTGAAGAATGCAAGTCCTTGATTACAGTTATTTTTGATGGAGATAATATCGATATTTCAGCAGCATCTTTCTCCAATTGTCCAAATCTTACAACAATAAAAATCACGAGCGAAACATACTATCAATTTTACAATGGTGCTGTTTACAAAGAAGATTACACAACTCTTGTTATGTATCCACCAGCAGAAACCAAGCTTTCATTACATCCAAACGTGAAAGTATTTCAATATTATGCTTTTGCTTCATCGGCTCTAGAAGAACTTCCTATACCAAGTACAGTCGAATCAATAGAGCACCATTGCTTTATTAACATGAATAAAATAAAACAATTCAAAATTCCGAAATCCGTTAAAAATTTCAGCTCCACATTATTCTACAAATGTTCAAATCTTGAAAAATTAGAGATTGAGTGTAATATTAAAACAATTGACCCATTCTTTTGCTCATCGAATACGAATTTAACCGAAGTTATCTTACCGGACACTGTAGTTGAAATAGAACAATTCGCGTTCACTAACTGCAAACATCTGAGTAAAATAAGGCTTCCTTCCAGCTTAAAATCCATAAAAGAAAAAGCATTTTCAGATTCAGGCCTGGAAATCATCGAAATGAACGATGACTTATCCGATATCGGTAACCAAGCATTCAAAGGTTGTTCAAAATTGACAACGATTAAGTTTAATTCAAAAATCAAATCATTGAGGCCAGGAGTTTTCCAGAGTTGCACAGGACTGAAGTCAATCGAACTCCCAAGTAATGTAGAAGAGATCGGATACGGTTTATTCCAAGGATGTTCAAGTCTTGAAAAAATTATTTTTCATGGCCCAGTTAAAATAATGAATAACACTTTTGTTTATTGCACGAGCTTGACAACCGTAGAATTGCCGAATTCACTCACCAATATTGGTAGTTTGGCGTTTGCTTACTGTTCGAAATTATCCGAAATCGTAATACCTTCTAGCGTCAAGGTAATTGACGGTTCCGCATTCTCCTATTGCGAAAAACTTCAAAAAGTGACGTTTAAAGGTTCAATTGATTTGATATGTTCCTGGGCATTCTCTTATTGCACTTCTTTGAAGCATATATCGCTCCCTGAGATATCCGAAATGGAATGGTCTGTGTTTTATGGCACAGGTCTCGTTGAAATTACGATTCCCGATAATTTATTAACAATTCCTGACGATTGCTTCAATAATTGCGTTGATTTGAAGACAGTTGTACTCGGATCTAACACGGGAACCATCAGCGAAAGAGCTTTTTCAAATTGTATCAGTTTGGAAACGGTAAAATTCAATGATAACCTTGTTGTCATCGAAAACTACGTATTTACAAACTGTACAAGCTTGAAATCAGTTAAATTCGGCCATAAACTTAGTAATATTTACAGATTTATTTTCCAAGACAGCGGAATTGAAGAAATCATCATTACAAGTAATCCTGAGCTAGATACATATTGTTTCTCACGCTGTCCGAAGCTTAAAAGTGTAGATATTGGTAATGTTTACAGATTGCCATTCCACTGCTTCGAAAACAGCAGTATTTCAGAGATAATATTACCACCGCAGCTAACAGAAGTCAGAGAAGATGCTTTTACAAACTGTAAACTCAAAAATGTTACAATTTTAGGAAATGCAAACTTAAGAAGCCGTTCTTTCTTCAACTGTGGTGAAATTGAAACCCTATACATCTCTAAAATCTCACAAATAGCTGAAGACGCCTTTAGCGGAACAACAATTATTTCAAAATTAATTTATTGCGGAAACCAAACGTTGGATTACAATTTGAACAACGTCAAATCAGTTGTTGTATCTGGTTTCTACCGTAAGAAAGTATTTGGAGGAGTTTCTGTCACTGTTGATAAGAAAATTTGTGGAACACCTCCTCGCGACCCATTAGATAGGTCACTTATTATCACCATCTCAGTTGTTTGTGCTGCCATCGCTTTTTCAGTCATTTCTATCATTATTTTCTGTTATTGGTCAAAGCGTCGTGAGCGCTTCTCCAGAGAAAAGCTTAGTGAGTCACTATTAAGTCAAGTGTAATATAAATATAATAAACTGTCTGACTTTTTAAAATAATTTTATAATTTTTTTTTATAACGCTATCAAAAATGACAAAATATACAGCTATCCATGTTTTGAAAACATTCCTTGGTAAAATTTCAATTTCTTGTATCTTTTTGGATATGATATTTTTTTTTACTTGCATAATAATATATATGGATAATTCTCTTAAGCTGGTAAGATAGAGACACCCAATATCTCCTTAAATTTCCAACATAGTAAAAAAATATCATATACAATTAAGGCTTTCTAGCATAAAAATAATTAAGTGATACATTTTTTTGCGCCAAAATTTTAATCCTCAGAAAAATTGTGAACTAATTCAATTTTGCATCTGAAATTTTATGAATATTCTGATAAACCAATTCTACTAACACTTATCGTATTTGAATATCATTCAAATATTGTTGAGTATTCTGATCCAATTTTTTCTTAAGTTCTTTTGTTGGTACTTAATATTTGAAGCCATAAATGATTGATCTCAGAAAAAAATACCAATACATTTAAGATTTTTCAAAGTCGGTTTAAAATTTCACAGTTTCAGATAATTTATCTTTCATTTCACTTTCATGTCTGAAGCAACCAGTAAGCTTTCTCCAGAAGCCCAAAAAGCATTGAATAGATTAGAGAAAATCGGCAAAGCTAAAATGGGAACTTTTATTATTGGCCACAATGGTGAAACAGATACAATCAAGTGCTCAAAGTTTTATGAAAAGGCACCTTCCCTTCCAGAAGAAGAATTATTCTTGTGCGATGAATGTGGTGAACAAAAACATCTTCTAGTTCAGCTTTACGTTCCATCTTTACCTCCGAATATCCAAAGACTATTGCCAACCGAGCTTTCTGATGCTTTATTAGTTTTTTACTATTGCCTAGAGTGCTTGCCTTATGGAGGGGATCAACTTGATGTAAAGATTTATCACGCAGATGATATCGAAAAATTAAAATACTACGATATCGATAGAGGCGAGTTGACGGCACCAGAGATTTTTGATAGCTATACCACAGCATATACCTTCGATCATGAATCGCTTTTTAAATATTGTCATAATGAAAAAATCGAAAATGAAATTTGTGATCAGATTAAAGATGAGCTAGAGGATCTCCGAGACGACAGTACAAACTCAAATTGCTTCTTTGGTGGATGTGCAGATTTTGCTCAAGGTGATGATTGCCCAGGACCAAGTTGGGATTTATTTTTAAATATTGGAGGAGATAAATGGAATCATTTCATGTGGGGTGATTGCGGAACTGCTCAGATATGGGTTAATTGCAATGAGCCAAGATTCATTTTGACATGGAGTTGCTCATAAGTTAATATCAAATATTATTTATAATTTGGCATTAACTTATATGAATAAATCTTTATTTATTAAAGAAAATATCATTTTCGCCGGAGCTGGAATTTCCTGGGCGATAATATTTTTGATATAATCATTCATTTCTGTTTCCTTTAATATGATAGTAATTACTTTAAAATAGAATTAAAATCATTTTGAATAAAGAATCTTTATTATATGTTAAAAATTATTTAATAGATTCATTGCTTAGACTTATATGGTTGCATTACTGACAAAATAGAATATGCTTAAATAAAGACATTAATTTTTATTAGGAACGAAGACCTCCACAAGATTTGTTTTTGTATATGATTCATGTTCATTTAATTTTTTTTGTATATAGATTAATTGCTCATATTAGAATCCAACAGAATTTCAGAAACCTTATGGCTATATGCTCGAAATAAATATGTGAAAGGCAGTAAACATGAATAATGAATAGACGAACATAAAGAAGAAAATCAATATAGAAAATAACGAAAAATAATTATTTATTTGATGCACAATTTAATAGATTACATCCTTAATAGAACAATTAATATCTGAGTTAATCACTTGATCAACTTTCGAAAAATGATTTTCCAAAATCTTTGTATATAATTTTTATCTCTAGAATTAGTTTCTGCACCATGCAAAATAAGAAATCGTTTCATCTCCGTATTATGGTTTTGAATCGCATATTGAAGGGCAGTTTGTCCGAATTTATCTTTTGCATCAATATCAACATGGCGCAAAATAAGAAGCTCTGCTGTTTTTATACAATTATTTTGGGCTGCATAATGAAGTGCAGTTTTTCCAGATTTATCTTTTGCATTGATATCTGCATTGAATGAAATAAGAAGTTTTGCTGTTTCTGGACAATTATTCTCTGTCGCTAAATGAAGAGCTGTTTTATTATTTTTATCTTTCTCATTAATATAAGCTCCATGTTCAAGAAGAAATTTTGCTGCTGTTGTATGATATTGTCCTGCTGCAAAATGAAGAGTAGTATCTCCTTCTTTATCTTTTGCATTTATTTCAGCACCATATGAAATTAGGAGTTCTAATATACCTTCAGTACATTTTTCCACTGCCAAATGAAGTGGAGTTTTCCCATTTTCGTCTTTTGTATTGATAATTGCCCCTTGCTGTATAAGATACTTTGCAACTTCGCAATTATTGTACGTGGTTGCATAATGAAGAGCTGTTCTGCCTGATTTATCTTTACCATTTATGTCCACTCCATGTGAAATAAGATATTCAATTAATTCAATTAACCCATTTTCGGCTGCATAGTGAAGAGAAGTCTTACCATTAATTCCAACATCCTGGATATCTGCTCCATGTAAAATAAGATATTCTATTGTTTCTTTCTGTTTTGCATAATTTATAGCTGCTCTTCCGTCATTATCTTTTATTTTAACATCTACATTATGCGAAATTAGAAATTCAATCAATTCTTTGTCATTATGATATACTGCATAATGAAGAGCCGTTTTTCCATCTTTATCTCTAATGTTGATATCAGCTAGGGTTGTTAGATTCCTGACGATAGGTGTCTTGGAAGATTTGCCTGGTGTCATCATAGTGTCTTTAAATCAAAAATTTTATTTTGAAGTTAGTTTTATTGATTTTTCAATAAAAAACATTTCTAAAACAAGAAAATAAAACGATAAAATATTTATATTTTATATAAGGATCTTATATATTTAAAATAAATATCATTTTATTTTTTTCATTGGTGTCTGTCAAACCATAATACACTATTCAAAAATTCAATGTGTCTTGCGGTTTCAAAAGACACCTTCAAATTGAACGATAGCACAGACACTATTGAATTTTACCCATTGTATTTAGTTTTTACCCTTTTTATTTTTAAGAATTAATGACTGAAACAGCCGTTTTGCTATGACCTCAATCACTTTTATTTATTATTTTAAATATTATTTAATTTTATTATTTGAATAGGCCAACTTATATTTGAGAAGCTCAATTTGAGACCACTTAATACATTGAAATATCATAAATATTGAAATATTAAAAAGTGTATTTCAAAATATTGAAATTATAAAAATTTATAATACTGAAATTGAGACAAATTAATAAATTCAATGTGTTTTTTTTGAAATAACTCTCAAATATTATTTTTTTGTTTATTTAATGATGAATAAATATGATTGCTTTAGCCAATCATAAAAACTAATTTAAGTTTAAAATAATGAAAGGATAATTTGATCATTTTTTAAAATACAATTATTTTTGATGATTTGCAAGAATCTTTGAAAAGAATATAATATATGTTCTATTTTTTAAAATTTATCCAAATCATGTATTACATAAATTACGATTAAAACGATGAAAGAACCAAAAAGTGTGTTTTGTGTTTTGTTGTTGCGTGTTGGATGCGGGATCCTGTTATTTCAGAAATTGACAAAAAATTTGGAAATTTAATTTCCGAAATCGAAATAATATTAATGTTTTTAATATTCTTATATCAAAAGGATTAAAGTTCATTAAGAGAAAAACAATTCTTCTTCTTCAATCTATTGGCGCATTTATTTCTACACGCCAATAAGGAAGGGAAAATTATAAGACACCATGGTGTCTTCAAAACGCTAATTTTTGATATTTTTAACAACCCTAATATCAGCACCATGTAAAACTAAAAATTCAGTGATTTCTTTGCAGTTTTCTTTACCGTATGCATTATGAAGAGCAGTTTTCCCTTCTTTATCTTTTTCATTAATATCTGCACCACTTGAGATTAGGAATTCTGCAATTTCAAAATTTCTCCAACTTATTGCTGAATGAAGTGGAGTTTCTCCGTATTTATCTTTGACATTTATATCTGATCCGTGTAAAATAAGAAATTCTGCAATTTCTTTTCTGTTTTTTGCTGCTGTGTAATGTAGAACTGTCATGCCATTTGGATCTTTTGCTGATATATCTGCATTTTGAGAAATAAGATATTCTACTATTTCTTTGTTATCATTTACTATTGCGTAATGAAGAGCCGTCTTATGTTCCATATCCACAATATTGATATCTACACCATGCGAAATAAGAAACTTTACTGTTTCAATACATGCATATTCTGCTGCATAATGAAGAACTGTCCGTCCAAAGCCATCTTTTGATTTTAATACTCTAGGAGGATGTTTCCAATATTCCTTCTTGATGATATCAATTAACTGAGGAAATGCAGCACACCTTGGAAAAATTGAATTGCCATCTATCTGGTAAAGAAGAAATTCTGCCATTAAATTCTGTGATTTGATGATATATTGATGATAAATCTCATAACCTTTATTAAAAATTTGGGAGCCACCATTGTCATAAGGTTCATCATTTAGGTCAAACAAATCATTTCCCAGAACGTATTCAAGGAGTTTATTGTTGTGTGATGAAAGAATATCTTTCATGCAAATTTTATCAATTTGTTCGCTTTTCATGCATTCATCAATAATATTGATGTTTCCTCCAATAACAGAATATCGAAGACATTTTTTATTGATTTCATAATTGTAGATTGAAATGAGGAAAAAGAAAATGTTAACAGATCCAAAATAGCAACAAGCTTCAAGAGGTGGTAAATGCCCAACTTGTGGTATCTCAATTCTGAAATTCTTTAATGAATTATTGGAAAGATATTCTTTGATATCATCAATTTTGTCATGCATAATCATGTAACTGATCTCACCTTCTTTTGGGAATGAGGAAATAAGTTCTTGTTTTAAGTTAAATTTATTGGATTTATCTTTTGTATCAAAATAATTGAAAAATTTATTAACATAATCGGATTTTTTTAATGAATATTTTGTTGATATTTGGTTTAGAATTTCAACATATAGATTGATAGATCGATAGTTGAATTTCATTGCTTCAAATATGCTCCTGAATAGCACATAAAAAGGCATTTTGTACTTCGCAATTAAAATTGAAGTGATTAAATTAACAATATCTTCAACATATTCGTTTGATTTGATGTGAAAGAGCCTATCATACAATCCTATGAAATCTTCGTATTTTGTGAAGGACTCATAAAACATGATAAATCCTTAATAAAAATGAAAAATAAATTATTCTGATGTAAAAAAAATACCAAAATTGATTATCAATGTGTATTATATATATTTTAGTTACCATACACAAAATGCCACTTTAATCACACATTAAATCTATTTTAGCTATTAATAATATGTTGTAAATATAAATTTGTTTATAACTGCATTCAATGTTATGATATTCTTTCTCTTATTAATTTGTACTGCTAGTGCTGATCTGTATACATTTGGATATGCAAATACATCTGATAAATTTCAGTTAAAGTTTCTTTAAGTTATCAAAATCTTTTTATTGAATAATTACGTTTCAAATCTCAGATGGCGCAATTACCAAAATCCAAAAAAGAAATTCCTTAGCATATCTTCTACTCTTGTAGTTTCCAAAAAAAATCTTAACACAATTTTAACATTTCCAAATGATAGATAATCTCTTTACAAAATCGATTTTCCAGCATTAGGAACACAAAAAAACGGGAACCACAAAAGATATATTACCAAATAAAATATATTCAATAATTTGAATTATCTATCGTTATTTAACATATGTCTCAAACAGATAATATTACTTTGAACCATATGAAGTAAATATGTCCATAATTTTTGACAAGAAATGCTTTGAAGAGATAGGAGCATCAATCGAATAGTCTTATTAATTATTAAGAAAACTTCAGTTGTTCACGGACACAATTGATATTTCATACTGATTATCATGAATGAATTCCTGAATTTCAATTTTCAAACTTAAAATCTCTGTACGTTAAAAAAAATTGGAATTCAATGTTGAAAGCGGCAATTATATCGAAACTTGATGGAAGTCCTTCGAAAGAAGAAAATGAGCAAAAAAATCAAGGAGAAGAGATAACTAACGTAAATAACAATGATTTTGATGCAGATTCCGATTTTGTTGATTTCGAAACTGAAGCAGATAAGACAACTAAGAAAGAAGAAGAAAAACCAAAAGAAAGCGAAAATAAAAATATCGAATCTCTTCCAAAAGATCAAACAAATGATTCTCTTGAATTTGATATCAACGATATAGTTACGCCAGATCCATCTCCAATGAGTACTTTAACATTAAATCAAGCCCCTGTTATTGGAGCTATGAAGAATATTGAACCTCCAAAAGAAGAAAATGAAGATAAGCAAATCCAAGAAAATGTCAATGAAATACAAAATGGATTACAGAAACTGATTAACGGTAATGACAATAAAGAACAAAAACAAGATAATCAGCAAGAGAATAAAAATACAGAAAAAAATGATGCAGAACCAGTATCCGATGATTTTAATTTAGAACTTACAGATGAGAAAAAAGAAGAAAACGATGCTTCGACTGCCAAACAGGATGAAAAAATTGAAGAGAAAAATGAAATACCAAACGAAGATGCTTCTGTGAAACAAGAAGAAAAGCATGAAGAAAGTGATCACAAAGAAAATGAAAAGAAATCTTCATCATCTTCAGATAACGAATTTGATGATTCTTTTGAATCGACTAATAACGAAGCTCCTAAGACTGAAAAAGAGGAAAATAAGGAGAATGAAAAGAATAGTGATGATGGCAAGAAATCTTCAGATGATGATTTCGAAGATTCGAAAGAGATCACTCTGAATGATAAATCAGCTGAGGTAATACCAGAAAATGAACACACAAAGTCAGATGAAAAGAAAGCTGAAGAAAAAAAGAAATCATCAAGTTCATCAGATGAAGAAGTAGTAATGAACGAAACATTACCTCAATCTCCAATCCCACAAAGTAAAAAGGAAGAACATGACAATATTGAGATAAAGGTTGAAGATTCTTCATCTTCTGGTTTTGAAATTGCTGAATCTCCAAAACCACAAGAGCCCCAAGATAAATCAGAGGAGAAAAATGAAGAAGTTCCAAAGAATGAGGAGGCTAAGAAAGATGAAGATAATAAGAAAGTTGATGAACCAGATCAAACAGAAAAGAAGGTAGAAGAACCTAAAGAAAACAAAGATACAGAAGAAAAACCGATTTCATCAATCATTCATAACAAATTGGAACCAAATGTTTCATTTGATAATTTAGCTGAAGAGAAGAAGAATGAACCTCAGCCAAAAGATAAAAGGAAGGCTAGTATTATATTATCATCAGACGATGAACCTGAAGGACCAGAGCCACAGATTAAAGTTCATGAACCTCCACCTCGAAATAAAGACGAGCAAAAGAAAATGTGGGATCTCAAGGAATACATAGAAGCAGCCCCAGTTATTATTCAAGAAGGTGAAGATGAAAAGAAAAATAAAAAGGAAGATGATGATGTATTTCCAACTGCACCGCCATCAACTCAAGAGAGTGCAAGAGCCCCTAGAAGAGCAACTCAACCCGCAAAGCAAAATGATTTCAGTACTTCTCAGCAGACATACACATATTCGCATTCAAAGGGTGAGTTAGAAAAAGGAATTAGTGCCCTCAAAAAGAATAAATATCCAGACCAATCAATTAATCGTGATTTGGATCACTATCTTGAAGAAAAAATGGAAAAATGCATTATTAATTCCAATTATTCTGAAGCAGAACAATACGAAAACCTACAAAAGTTCCTTGAATCATATGTTGATTACTCTCCACTCCAGAAATCTCGCGATATTCAAATCAAAGAGAACCAAACAAAATTAGATAAAGCAAAAGACAAACATGAATACATCAAGAAACAATATGCCGAAGCTATTGAGAATGCTAAGCAAGAGCAACTAAAGAGAGAAGAAGCTCTTCGTCAACAACATGATAAGGAATTTGAAGAATTGGAGAAAGTTTGGGAAAGCCCAGATACTCTATATCCATTCCAAAAGCCATCACCACAATTACTGTACCTAAGGCAGCACGAAACTCATGCTGCTCTTAGCAAAAAGTTTAGAAATGCGAAATCCTTCAAAGCTCAAGCTGATGAATTACAGAGGAGAGAAACACAAATGGCAAGAGAAAAGATAACTGCTGCAATGAAATCGGCTTTTACAAAACTCGAAGCAAAACAACAAAGAGAATTAGAATGCTTAAGGCAAAGAGGTATTACACAGATCAGAGATTTAGAAACTGAAAGAGATAAAAGACTTTATTCGTCAATGATTGTAGTTAAACGACTGGAAAATGCTAAACCTAAAGAAGGATCAGTTACAAGAACTTCATTCAGAGCAAAGCCATTAAAGGGAGACTCTACAATGAGATCAAAGATGACTACCTTAGATATTGGACCAGTTAACGTTAAAAGTATTGTTAAACGGTTAAGGTCGCCAGACTCATCAATGATTAGGAAGAAGAAGAGCGATGAGCAAAACTATTCAAAAAGCTCAGACTTTTAGCGCTTCAATTTTTAGTTTTGTTATTATTTGTTATATTTATGTATATTGTGTATCGAAACATAAAAAAATCTTTTAGAAACTCCTTTATTTTCTGTTTAGAATGCAGCTTGTTTTCCAAATTTTATTGCATTTCATGATTTTGAATGATAAAATTGTTAAAAATATTTTCATTTTTTTCGAAACAAAAAAATTTTGGAAAAATTAAATATTTATCGAGCTAAATTAATACCACAAATTGATTTTATTTTTGAAGACCACGAAAACACCCCTAAGATTTTTGAAAAATGACATAAATTTACCAAAATATAAAATTATTCATTAAAAAAATTAGGAAAAATAAGCATTAGGAAAGATGTGTAAAATTAAAACAGTATAATAACAATTTTACTCAGCATTGAACTTGGCGACAGCCTTGCCACCTTCTGAGACGGCGTGCTTGGCAAGATCGCCTGGAAGAACAAGACGAACAGCTGTCTGAACTTCGCGGGAACCGAGTGTGTTACGTTCGTTCATATCGACAAGACGAGCGCCTTCCTGAGCGATACGCTCGAAGATATCTGTAACGAAGGAGTTCATAACCATCATAGCCTTGTTAGAGATACCGATATCTGGGTGAACCTGCTTGAGAACCTTGAAGATGTAGGAAGAGAAGGTTTCAGCACGCTTCTTGTGGCGGAGCTTCTTATCTTGCTTAGCAGCATTGGCGGCATCGACACCCTCGACGGCTGGCTTCTTCTCTGTTGGTGTTTTAGATGCTGGCTTCTTGGAAGACATTCTAAATAATGATCACTTTTTGGCCGCGAAACAGTTTATTTTTCCCAATGAAAAATATGAGGTCCAAAATGACATTTTTGAAAATAAACGAAAATACCATTTTAAACCCAGTATAATTTGAGAACCATATGGCGGGGATTATTTAATTCATTAATTATTAATGCCAGCTAAGAAAGGTGTTAAGAAGACAGCTACAAAGACAGCCGTTGATGGCGAACGCCAACATCCAAAGACACGTTCATCCCGTGCCGGTCTTCAGTTCCCTGTCGGTCGTCTTCACAGATTCCTCCGTGAAGGACGTTATGGTGAACGTGTTGGTGCTGGTGCTCCAGTCTTTATGGCCGCTGTTCTCGAGTATCTTACAGTCGAAGTTCTTGAACTTGCTGGTAACGCTGCTCGTGATAACAAGAAGACACGTATTTCCCCACGTCACATCATGCTTGCCGTTCGTAACGATGAAGAATTGAACCAATTACTTTCCAATATCACCATCGCTTCTGCCGGTGTTGTTCCTCACATCCACAAGGTTCTTCTTGGCAATCCAAAGAAGGGCAAGGATGCTTCTCAAACACAAGAATAAATTTGTTTATTTAGTGATATATATCAAATATTCTCATATCTTTTTTTAAAGATTTCCCTGGAATTTCAATGAATTTGGATTTGCCGTAACATTCTTTCCCTTAATCTATACAATATAATTAGAATGGTCATAGGGTGATGGTATTATTCGTTGTTGTACTTTTTATTAAATTTGTAATTGCAGATGTCAAATTTATATCTCTATATTATTAACTAAGCAATTTTTTATGTTGACTAATAAATGATGGAATTCTTCCAAATATATCAAATGAAAAATTTTTTTCCAGCATTTTTTTTTTCTCCACTTGAATGAAAAAGGTAAATGTTGTTATTAAGTTAGGAAATTTTAATACCATAGTGTACCCTGTTATAGAACACAAAAATGTGCAAGTAATGTCAGCTCCAAATACAAAAAATTATCCAACTGTTGTTACATTTAAAGAAATGACTCCTCACAAAAATGATTTCTACCCATTATGTGGCGATTTAGCAAATTCTTCCGGATTTCCTTATGAAAAGTATGCTGCTCGCAACATTATCCAATTATTAAACGACAATTTAGCATTTCCATTTCAAACAGACTACAAACCTATGGAAGCCATGACTTTCTTTTTGAAATATATATTGGAAGAAATCAGAAGGGAATATCGCTGCAATAAACAGTATACCTTTGTTCTTGACGAAATAAGCACAGTTGCTAGAGAAAGAATCATAAAATGCATATCATACTTACGGAAATATCGTTCAGTCAGATATATTGATTCCAAAATTGGAATATCTTATTATTTCTTATCCCACTTTGAATTTGGACCTGAGAGATTCAAAGGAATATTCATTGATAGCGGTGCCACATCTACTACGGCTATAGTCACAACGTACCAAAATAAACAGATTATTGAGTGCACAACAAGAGAAGTAGACTTTGGCGGAGACATAGTTTCGAAGTACATTATACAGAAAGTCATCGACAAAATGAAAGAAGTCCGTTCTCCAGCTCTCAATGAATTTATTAAGAAATATCACGATAATGACAAATCTACAGTCCAAATCTTCATGAATGCGGCAAACAAAACGAAGCAGGGCATGTTATCCAATCAAAGCTGCATTTTTGATGACAATTGCATCAATGTTGAAAATGCAAAGACGATTTTAACTCCTGACGATTTATACAAGCCAAAAGAATGGTCCGACATGTTAGGAAAACTCGATCCTCTCTTTGATTTTATCAAAGAAAACATTACCGACAAAGATGTTATCAAATGCTTCGAATTCATTGGAGGAAACAGTTTATGCAAACCTATTGAAGATCATGTCATTAATAAGATTGAAAAAGATTTTCATCAGAAGAAAACATCATATTTGAACACATTTGATTCATCTGTTTTAGGAGTTGCAGAAATTATCAAAAATGAAGACAAATTCATCGAAGAATCCTCCAAACTCAATGAAACACTGTTCATGAGATACAATCAAAACAAATTTGATTTGGATAGCATTGATACTTATTTAAATGCATTGCAAGGTATTGAGAGAACAATCAAAAGAATGAATTTTAAGTTCTCTAAGATCGATAAAAGTCTTAAGATCGAAATCGATGATGATTTGATAGATGAATTCGGAGACTTCGAAGATGAAGATCCACAAAACGCAAAAAAGGAATATGACAAACTTTGTTCGGAAATGAAAAACCAATTAGATGAATTATTTAAGAAACTGGACACATTTTATGGAATTGATGAATATTTGATGCTGGAAGATCCAGGAAGATTAGATGAATTCATCATTGGTCATGGACTTATTAATGAGAGTTTGTCAATTGCAGCAAATGAAAGAGTTACGGATTCAAAAACAATTATTCAATATAAAATCAAATATTCAGGCGTTGAAAACAACAACAAGAATAAGAAATCATTTGATCAACCAGAGAAACATTCTTCTCCAAGAAAAACAACATATAGACATAAAAGAACAAAACCAAAATAAACAAACAAATAACTTTTTTTTATTATTTATAAATATTCTATTATTTTATTATTATATCTTTAATAGTTTTTTTAAAGGGTACACTTAAGCTCATATTAGATTATCTTCAATTCTTTTGTTTAAAGCTATATTTCAATCATGATCATCATTGTCAGAAATTTGAATTGAAGTCAAAGCTTATCATATAAGTACTGAACGATTGGTCTATGAAATCGCATCAAAATTTCATAGGAAAACATCAACAAATACGATTTATTCGAAGATCTAAAGCAAGGACATTAATATTGTCCTATTGATTCTGTTTAAATTGACGATAATATTGAGAATTAACCTTAAACATCAATAAACAAGATCATGTCATACTGGCATGAAAGCGATCACTTAAATGTTTATTTCATTTTATTCTATTTGATTGCTGTCTAATAATCATTTGAAATCAAGAATATGCTCTCAAGAGACATGCATTTCCATTTTATTCTTTATATAAAATTACCACCATTTTCTTTCCCTTACAAATTTTGAGTTCAAATCGAAAAAATAAAATTTTGACATTTTGATCTATGTTAAGAAGAAAATCTCATCATCTCAGTTCGATCGTTATTCCTAACGAATTAAAGCAGTATCAAAATGTTATTGACTTACTTTGGAATGATAAGTTAAGATATAAAGATGTCGACAAAATTGTTAATCAACTAGCTCAATTTTATACAAATGGCACAATAACTCTTGACTTCATCAATAATATGATTCATATTTTAATATATTTTCATACAAAGAATGAACACTTGGCATATGTAATCGCATCGAAATTTTACCAGAAAACATCAACAAATTTTGATTTTTTCAGATATCTTAAACCAGAATCATATGGTTCTATTGATGATATTTTAATCGACGATAATCTTGAAAAATTGAAAAACTCTGAGATACACTCTAATCTTACAAACCGAGCAGCATATTTTGGGGCAGTTAAATGCTTCAAGCATTTTGCGAATGTTTTCCAGACTACCTTTGACAAAGAAACAATGAAATTAGCAATAAAAGGCGGAAACAGTGAAATCATAAAGATGGTTTCAGACAAAGTAGAAATCGCCACAAAGAAAAATTTAAAAATTGCGATTGTTTGCCATCGAAACAATATTGTTGAAGGAAAATTAGAAAGAAATTTTGATTTATTTCGAGATATTTTAACAATGACACATCTTTATAACATGAATTATCAAGTTTTTCTCTTTGCAATATATAATAGGATATATAACGATGCTGGTTGGTGCTTTCATTATGATATTACCTTAGTTAATGTATATCCAATTCCATTCTTTCAATACATAATTTCAATTGGATATCGTGTTGATTTCTGCTTTTGGCATTTCGAGGAATCATTTAACCTTCTTTTTGAAGCTCTGAAGAATAAGAAATTCGAATTAGCTAGATTTCTTGTTGAAAATGGCGCCAATGTGAATACTGCACTATTTTTAAGTAATGGATCAACACCGGGTGAAACATGTACTCCTCTCAAATATGCCATCGAATATAATGATATCGCCTTAGCAAAATTTTTCTTAGACCATGGCGCTGATAAGAATCAAGATATATTTTTCATGATGGACTGTCAAACCATCATAAAGAGAGCTGTTGATTATGCAGTAAGTGATGAAATGAAATCATTTATAAATGATTATGAACCCATAAGGAGTCACTCCATATATTGCATTATATTGTAATATTATAAAGTTACGTTAATATTCATCTAAATTTCTATCCAAAATTATTGATTTATTAATCGTGAATGTTAAAATTGTTGTCTAAATGTGTGAGTTAAATATACAATTCGCAAAATCTTAGGTCCAAAATTGAATACTTTGCGCACAAATATGCTTGGAATTTAGAGTCGAAATTGAATCAACTATAAGTTAGATGAGTCTTTTATTGTTTTTTACCAACATATAAATTGTAGTTGTTTCAATCTTGAGACAGATCTTTTGAAGTCCGAGAATCCGTCAAAGTGGTGAATTGAATTTATTTTTATCTTATGGAATCTTAGCAAATCAATACACTTTCAAATCTAAAATTCCTTTATTCAAAGATATAATTATGCTTTCATTCAATGAAAATATATTCTCTATATGCACATGCATATGAGAAAACATAATACTCTAGACAATTTCCTCTTAAGTTCCTTGAATAGCATTATTGAGATGTCCAAAGTCCTCTTAAAAATGAATACCATCTTAAAGTTGAGAGAGAATGCACATGGAGTCTTAAAGACATTATTTAATTTGCTTTTGTTCATTTTAGAGCAATTGGCTTTATATATTGTCTAGTTTTGATTGAAATTATAAACTCCTTTTCCTTCGTGAAGTCTCTTATTCAAATTTTATGATAGAGGTTCACTCAATATTGAGGCAGAAAAACGATAGATAGAATTTACGTAGGAAAATGGGTTAAATAACTTAAGGCTACACTTACGCCCATCTGACTTTAGTTCAATTTTTTGACAACTGTCTTGAAGAGTCATTGAAAGTTAACTTTAAACATCTGAATTGAAGGCCGGGTCATATGGGAGTAAGTGCACTCTTAAATTTTTTTTGAAATTTTTTAAGGGTTTCGTTTTGCTAAAATTGTCACTTTTATAGCATATTTGTTTTTGGATGTTTTGCGAAACCAAAAAAACTATGATATACAATGTGTGTGTAAAGAAAATACTTTATTTACTAGTTAAAAAATCATTTGGTATTGATCAAGTTATTTTTTCTGGATAAGATATTATATGGATAATTGGATAGAAAATACAATTATATAATCTTGTACCTGGTTTAATTAAGCTAATTGTCATCAGAAACTTGTAATTTTTATGAATTTCAGATTTTCTTTTCATTACTGCTTTTCTTAATAGGTCAAGTTCTTATTTACGTTATAAAGTATGATATTTACAAATATCAAGTTATCATGTTTTTTGAGAAATTATGAGAAACAAACAAAAATGAAAAAGATAGGAATAGCAATGAATAGTGATGTGGGTATAGAAAATGTAAGAGATATGAATGCAAAGCAATCAGTATTTAGGATATTGACCATAGATTTCGAAAAAAAATGCTGCATATTGAGCGAAAACTATGATTATATTATAAGGTTGTCATTTAAAGCATAATGAAACTATTCCCTTTTCATTTTAATCGAATAAGATAGTAAAGATTTTTGAATTAGCTAGAAACTGATGAGATGTTTTCACAAATCAGATTTTAATCTCTATAATGCATAATTCACTCAATATCTCAATTTTGATATTGCGAGATATTTTTGCTATCGGTTTCGCAATTTTGACACAATAGCAAGAGGGTTCTATAAGCATTATTATCAACGTAGAATCTGAATATCATATCAGAAAATGTCGCAAATCTGACATTTACCCGACCAAATAGCAAAAATAATTGAATACTTTTCGCCAAAACTTTAAAAATCGATAAAAATATGAAATATAGATATTAAAGAGACTTTTTATATAATATTCATAAAGATTTTCCAAAAATATGATACCGCAAAATTAAAAAAGTGACGTCTTGAGTGGAGTCAAAGGTCGAAATTGCTAGCTAAATGTTTTTTAGCGAAATTGCGTATTGTACGTTTTTTTCGCAAAACAAAACCCTTATTTTTTTGTTTTATTTTGAAAAATAAAAAAAGTATAAATAAAAAAATTACAAACAAAATCAAGTGAAGAAAGAATTTTCGCAGTATCCTTGGAAAGTCTGAGTTCCAACAAACATATCAATGAAATCATAGTCTTCTTCTGGTACATCTATCATGTAGGCCTCTTTTACAAAACCGTATTTCGGATTATTCGGGTCAGTTGTGTCTCTGACTCTGCAACCAGCGAGTTTCTCCATTGATACGAATCGCTCATTGTAGTTCTTGAACGTTTGTAACATCTCTTCGACTTCTCTTCGATTCATAATGTATTTTGTCATAAAAACCCTTTTCATGCGCGTAGGAATGCCTTGCTTATTGCGGAATTCGAAGAATTTCACATCATGAGCAGCGCGAAGTTCTTTTGATGACAATAATGTCTTGAAATGTTTTCGGACGTTTGAGGCGTGCGGCATATGAGGCATACTGTCTGGATATGTGACGGTGCCTGTATTAATATTAAAAATAGTGGTGTCCGGTGTCATTTCTCGAGATTTGTATTTATCTGTGTATGCAACACCGAAAACAAAGGGAATTGGGGTGTCTAAGAAGTCAAGTAACTCATCCTGGTCTGGAATAATGGGAAGAAGTGATCCTTTGTAGCTCATTGGACTCAAAATTGCTAAAGATGCGATGGCAATCATAGAAATGGCTGAAATGTTGTTGCCTGTAATGACAATCCTTTGCTCAGTCATCAATGCACGCATATACCTAACAATGTTCTCAGAAGAAAGGTATGAAAACAAATAATCGAAACTGGCAGAAGCAATGGCCCAGCTGGAGTTCAGACCGTCATTAACTACAACAGTAATGTCTGGCGTAAGGGTTATTTCGACTGGAGCTGAACAAGAAATATGGAGATGAAGTTTGATCGCGTTAATAAGGATATGATTGACACCAGAGTGATTTACAGCATAAAATAGTGGGCATGCAATGAGTTTTGTGAGTTTTGGAGTAAATTCTAAAAATCTTTCTCTGTCAGTTGAAATTTCGTTCCATCTTTCTGGTTTTTCAGGGATAGTTATGTTTGCTGGGATGCAAGTAACAGTGCCTGATAATATTGATATTAGAAATTCATGAAATTTGAAAATAGCAGAAAATTGCGGGTTTGGAGTCATTGTACAAATGCAATATACTTTCGTGGGATTACTCTGACCTATAAAGCATGACTTTTGTAATACAAAATGCGTGCAAGTACCAAAAATCAACGAACCATCCTCGTTGAGGCCAAAAACAAATTGATTTTGAATTACATCGTCTGGCCTTATTGGATATTCCATACCAGTCGGGTAACAAAACTGCGCCACTCTTTCAAAAGATGAATCTGAATATTGAAAATTGCAAGAAGGATATACTAATAGTAATGACGGTTCGGTTTCCTTTGCCTCATTGGGTCCTAAAATCATAATGTAGCGTCCAAGCCTATTTTCCCTTTCTATAATTTTTTGATCAAATACAACTCCTAGCTCATCGCGAGTCGAAAGATTACTTGAAATACGCTCTAAAGAGACACCTTCTCGAAGAGTTTGCTGCTCTAAACGCTCCCGCTTTTTTAGCTTTCTCTTAATTGCATGAAGCATTGAAAAAAAAATTTTTTTTCTGTTTTTCATCAAAAAGTGGCAATATCTTCCAAAAATCAAGATTAACATTAACTCATAGTGTTGGTCATGCAAATGCTCATATTTTCTTGTTTTGTTTCAAATATATTTAAATTTTTGATGACAATTTATGGCCACATCCGCTTTGTCTGCAGGTCGAGGAAAAAAAGTCACTTTTCCAGGGAGAGTAACAAAGTTGCGCAAAATTCTGACACCCCTTTTGGGCATTCCCTCTCGGAGTCCTCGGGTCCTGGTGTATTACACTAGGGCCTCAAGTTTCGCATGGAAGGAATCTCATATAAGTTTACATTGTCAAAAATAATAATTTGACAGTTTACAAAAATTTACATAGAGCACTTTTGTTACCTACTCACTTTTCCAAAGCAAACTGAGATTTAAAAATAAAATTTGTTCTGTAAAACTTTTAGGTGAAATCTTGAAGTTTTGTACTAAATATGTCTTATTGATTTAAAAGTTGCAACGTAAAAATATCAATTCTATCATAAAAAAAAGTACTTTTAAGTATAAAAAATTGAATAGTTGTAAACTAAGGTAGTGAACCCTGAACTAATGGTGTTTTGCACCATTTAAAATAAGTTCGACTATTTCATTGTTATTAAAGTTTGATGCATAATCAAGAGCTGTTTTTCCAGATTTATCTTTTTCGTTGATATTTATACCATGTGAAATTAGAAGTTCTATAATTTCATTATCTTGAGTGCTTACTGCCCAATGAAGAGCGGTACTACCGGATTTATCTTTTTCATTGATTTTTGCACCATTTGAAATAAGAAGTTCTAGTATTTCTTTATATTGAAACTTTGCTGCGAGTATAAGAGCTGTTGTTCCATTTACATCTTTTTCATTGATTTTTGCACCATTTGAAATAAGAAGTTCTACCATTTCTTTATGATTAAAGTTCACTGCACAGTAAAGAGGGGAATGCTTACTTTTCGCATTGACTTTTGCACCGTGTGAAAGAAGGTGTTCCGCTATTTCTTTACTATTATAATTTGCTGCAATATGAAGAGCTGTTTCTCCCGTTTCATCCTGTTCGTTGACTTTTGCACCATGTGAAAGAAGAAGTTCCGCTATTTCTTTATTATTATATTTTGCGGTATAATGAAGAACTGTTTGTCCATCTTTATCTTTTTCATTTATTTTTGCACGGTGTGAAAGAAGGAGTTCTGCTATTTCTTTATTATTGCATTCTGCGGCATAATGAAGAGCCGTGCTTCCCATTCCATCCTTTTCGTCGACTTTTGCACCATGTGAAAAAAGAAATTCTGCTATTTCTTTATTATTATATATTACGGCATAATGAAGAGCTCTTTTTCCATAATTATCTTTATCATTGATATTTGCACCATGCGAAAAGAAATATTCGCAAAGAGAAGTTATGCCAAATATTGCCGAACAAACAAAACATTGATTAATATCATTCGTTTGATCGACATAAACTAAAAATGATTCAAGATTTCTATATTCTCCGCATGCAAATAATTCATTGTTGATCTTTATATTGTACTCATTCATCAAAAATGTAACAAAATCAATGTTGTGTGAAATAATTGCATATTTCATGCAATATTTACCTGGTTTTTGATGTTTCAAACATTCACTCATGATCTCTTGATTTCTTCCTAAAAATGATAATTCTAGACATTGTTGAGTTATTTCTGAGTTAAATTTTGTTCTTAATAACTTGAAACAACCAGCTGCTCCATAGTAACAACATAATTCGAGTAATGAATAACCACTTTTAATATAAGAGTTACTCTTTGGATATAAACTGCTACAACGTTTTTGATCTTTGTTAAATTCATCGCTTTCAATGAATTGGATAAATCTTTCTTTGTTGTTATCCATAATTATCCGGTAAATTGTATTTTCTGAAAAAATATCGAGATCTTCAGATTCAAAATCTTTGACATTTTTAGAATAACAAAATTTATTTAAAAATGGAGCTTATATTGAAATAGTCTTGAGACACTAAATTTCATTTTAGGCAATAAAATATCTCATTAAGGGAAAGTACTATGCTTGACATTCGGAAAACAATGACCGCATAAAACTCATATCCAATCTTGTTTGCAAAGCGAATAAGCTTCAGTTCTCATATGAGTGTCAAAAAGGTGAGGATATAATAGGGAGAGTATCACCAAGTCACCCAGCATAGTTCACTTTTTGATGCAAAATAACCGTTTTTTTTCACCAAAACATTTTTTTTACAAAAAAAGGGGTATGTTATAAGTTATGAATTTTGATTAGGTTCATAGATATTAAATTACATGATGAGAATAGAAAAGTGGAAAATAATATGATATCATATTTATTTATTATTTTTGATTTGATTTGTTGTGGAATCAAAGGAATTTGCGTGCGAATGGCTATGTTTTGAGTTATCGGTATTTAAACTCTTCAATACAATTTGGCTTTTCCTGATACAAATATTGATTCCATTACTTATTGAAGATTTACAGCAAATGGATCTGCTCTGCTCTTGAGAAAACCAAGAAAATGGGAACGCCCTTCCTGAGACAAACTGATTGCGCAAGAGCTCTCAAATGCTCGTGAATGAAGGAGAACTCAAAACGAAAGAGTGCGGAGATCGGTTATCAGTTGTGAGAGAAGGAGTGTTTTCTGCTTGAAAGAAAATCGAGTGTGAATCGTGGCTGTTTTGTACAGAATACGCCGTATTAGGAGAAATTAAGAAAAATGAGAGTTTTAATACTCATTTCCACTTAAATCAACATGATATGATAGGAAATCTTTATCAGAAGAGAGTGAGAACATGTTTCATCTCTGAAACTTTGAGGAGGCGATGGAAACCAGCTCAGTTATAGAAGATGGAAGAAGGACTGATAATAATTATATTTGTCTCTTGAACTGTTTCAATAACAGATGCCTTTCACATCATTCTGCACTCTAGAACTCTCGCCAAAGGGAATCTGAATTTTATCATTATTCCGTAATCGAAAACAATGAGCTGCGTCATGTATTTGCTGAAGTTTGGAGGAACAACAGTTGCAGAAGTAACAATATGATAAGGTCTTCTGTTCTTTACAACCAAAATTGGCAAAAAAGAGACTTCTTAAATTTCTATATCACTAAAATTAAAATTAAAATTAAAATCATGTTCTCATTATATACGATTGTATTTTCAAAAAAAAAAAAAAAAAAAAAACGAATATTACGATATAAATTTATGGAAGAGCTTCAAGCTGTCATTAGAGAAAAGCCAGAGCTTAAGCAATATCTTGAAGAGAAGCTTTTTCCAACACTTACAGATGGCTTTGAGGCTCTCTTAGTAGAACAGGAATTAATGAGCAAAAGAGTTAATTCCGGCGAAAAGCTCCCAGAAATTCAGCCAATCTTATTCTTGGCGCAGTATTTAATGCGACACAATCCTAATGCATAAAATCTTTGTTAATTATTGCTGTTAACTGCGAATATAATTTTTTTCATATATTATTACAAAGAAGAAATCACTATACTTACATATGCTAAATTCCTACTTATTTTCAAATGTGTTCATAGAGATATTATGCTTATTGAGTAAAGTTATTTTATTGTTTTATAAATATTTTTAATTCTATCCTAATATCTACTGTAACCAATTCTTCATCCCAGCACATTTGAGAAAATGAAAACATTTAATATGCATCCATGACTTCAAATGCTTATAATTAAATATACATCTAATTTGATCTTCCAGATTGAGAAAATGAGGATAGCACAATATACATGTTATATAACATATAAATTATGCTTATGAGTATGAGATTTTAGGTTTTATGAAACAATATTTACAAAATAAAGAAGCTATTTGTAAGAGATTTTTATTGTATGAGCATGGAAAAATCTTATCGCATGAAACCAGAAGGACTTGTGTTGATGGCAACAATTATTTTGTAAACTGAGGTCGAAAAATTTGTGCGCCCAGAAGATTTTGCGAGATGACAGATACTCCAGAAGATCCACCTGCTGATAATATTTTTGCCAACATTTCATCAACAGATCTTCAGAACTTGAACATGTGCATTACTGTTAAATGTGCAGAACTTGCTGATCCAAACGCGAAAGTTTTGGAAGTAATGTCGCCAATCTTCCGTGGTCTTGCATCGCATAAGCCAACAAAACGTTCAGGTTATGCTATCATCCTTACAGTCGTCCTTAGAAAGTTCCATGATAGAATAAATGAAGAAGAAGCACTTAAATTTATTCAAAATCTCAATTTCAATAAGAAATCAAAGAAATCTGCAGCAAGAACATCATCTTTAGCGAAAGTTACAGCACTTCTTGCATTAGTTCGTGCTAAAATCTTTGTATCTGAAACGGCCGCTTCATATGCTTTAGTTGAGTGCTGCAAAATCGCTCAAGAACGTCCTATGTTGCAAGCATTCATCTATTCTGCGCTTGCTACAATGACAATTGAAACAGAATTCCGTTTCTTTGAAGAGACAATTTCATCAATAGCGAAAAACCTCGATTCATTCATTTTCTGGTTCAAGATTATGCCGCACATTCCAGAGGACAAGATGTCTCTGGTACCAGAAGAGCTCCGTAAAGGACTTTATACCGATGAATGCGCGGAAGCAATTACAAAGCAACTTAGACTTACAAAACAGCCATGGAATTCACAGATATGGAAAGTCATATGCATAGAAGGCTCCGATGAGCAATTACTTACATTCTGGCAAGGAATTGTCATGAAAGAAATTCGTGGTGCACCAGATGCAGTCAGAATATCAACAATTCTCATTGTTAAATCCGTCTTACCAATTCTAAGACCTTCTTTATATCCAATTGTCATTTGCGCCTCATTTATCAGATTAATCAACAGTTTCTTGGGAAGTCCACTATGTGCACATGCCGTAGAATTCCTCGACCATGTTATTAAAGACCATCATCTCAAACTTGAAGACATAATGAAGCATTTCTTCTTTATTCAAGCGCATTTACCAGACGGATTCAATTTCCACCGCCAGGTATATGATATGTGCACAATAGAGGAGCTCAAAACCCGGTTTGAGCTGTTAAAGGAAGAAAATGAGAATCATAAAATCGAATTTAAGCAGAGAATACCAGCAGACAAGAAATCTCATGACGATAGCGGATACAAGATGTTCAGGTTCGACAAATTACGCGCTTTATTTATTGCTACAGCTCATCACAAAGATATTAAGTTTACAACTACAGTATTCGACTATTTATTCCAGAATTGGGAGAACCAACGCCAACATCTCGCATCAGATCTTGTAATTTACGACGAACATCGTGTAGAAGGCTCAGCAACTTTGCCAGATATCCTTAAACAGCCAAAAATGCCACATTTCGATTCATGCTACAAGCTTTATTCAATCTGTACGGGTGCTTCATCATCGCCATCGCTTGATACAGTCATTCCTCCAGCTCTTAACGATTCAGCTCCTTCATCCGCTTTAATTCAAGTTGCATTACAACATTCCAAGGAACCATCGCTTATCCAGCACGCTTACAAGTGCCATCTCAAGTCCGTGGCCGGAAAAATCCCTACTGATGACTTAGAAAAGTTCTTGAAAGACTACGTCCCAGCCGCTGACACTTTTACGATAGATTCGGTCTCAATTTTACAAGTTGCTGTTGATTCCTGCGAGATATCGTTTAACATCGCTGGCCCGCTGTTCGACCTATTTTGCAACACGCTAAAGAACTGCGAAGCGACTGTTGCGATGCCTCTTGGAAATCTGATTATTGAGACACTCAAACGCGAATCGAAGGATTTCTCCTTGCAGACCGTACTCTCCGCGATATTCAAGTCCATGGACAACCTACCAAATTCTATTGTTTCTCGCCATGAAAAATTAATTCAACCTGTTTTCAGCCAAATCTTAGCCGGAGTCATCAAAGCGAAACTACCTCTATCTCCTAAGTGCGTCAGAGCCCTCGAAAAGCAGCTAAACGAAGCAGTTTTGGACTATGCCGTCAAATCTACTCCGCATTTCTGCATTACGATCTTCCAGGAGTATACAAAGTTACCTGGAACAGTTCCTTATTCACTCTTCGGCCCTATTTGCTGTAATTTACCAACAGCAAAGCGTTTACAGAGAAGAGTTGATTTAATGAACCTCGTAACAGCAATTTTAGCCACTCCTAAAGGTCCTGATGTACTTATTACATACGAGAAAGACTTCACCAACTGCGTGAATGCACTTTTGGAGGAAGTAAAGAGAGGATCAACAGATGAGAACGGAAAACATAAGAAGGAAGCAGAGAAGAGGCACGAGAAGGTTCTCTTAGGAATAAAGAAGTGGTTCGAACTCATCAAGAACAGGAGGAAGGCTTGTGAGCACGTCGCAATCGGTGATTTCAGAAGAAAATGTCAGGCAATAATGCAAATAGGCGAAAACTCAACGAAATCATTACTAACACTCCTCCAGAATATAGAGCAGCAAGTGCATGTTAAGCACCGCAATTTCGAATAAAGTTTTGATTATTTATTCTTTTATTTTAAAATTCAATTATCATTTTTTAAAAAATTTGATAAGGATATGCATCCTGAGTATTCTAGAGTGGAAATTTATTGTGTTCAGTCGGGCAGTTTATTTATTTGCACTGTATAGCATCTTTTTTTTAATTTTGAATATGTTCGTCATGTCAGTGAAGCCCTAAGGGTGCACTTACTACTTTCTGACATTCTCTCAATTTTTTTGACACCCAAGCTTTATATCCCAATCTTCTAGGGTCAAAAGTTAATATTTTTGGTCTGGAAAAAGTAATTATAAATCACATTATAGCACATTATATTACTGTTATACTGTTTTGCTATTACAATAAAGATATATTGATTTTGTGAGAGCATGTCAGAAAGTGGAAAGTGTACTATTTTTAACACTTATTAGCTTTGAATTTGAAGTAGATTTCACAGTAAAATATTTTTTCCCTATTTCGTTTTAATATTTTCTATCAGAATGCTATGTCAAGTCATAATATTAAGAGTACGCTGACCACATTATGAAATGTTGTTTTATTCAAAAATAGTGAGAAATCTAAGAAACAATTTTGAGGAAATAAACATGTTTTCATATTTTTCACATGAGAACATTTCATTTATATCAGTTTTTGAGAGCTCGGCAATCAAAATATGTTACAACAATTTTGTTTAGCAAATCTCGTTTTAGCTCCATATGAAATCAGAATATTTGCTAAATCTTCATCCATTTGTAAATTTAAAATTGCCATATCTAGTGGTCTATCTTCATTATTGTCTTTTTCATTAACTTTTGCACCATGATATAGGAGAGTTTCTACTGTTTCTTTGGAATTTGAAAATGCTGCAGTGTGAAGTGCTGTACCTCCATTGTTGTCTTTTTTATTAATTTTCGCACCATGTGAAATGAGAATTTCTGCAAAATCTTTGAAATTCTGAAATGCTGCCATATGAAGTGCTGTCTCTCCGTCAATATTTTTTGCATTAACATCGGCTCCATATGATAATAGAATTTCTGCTGTATCTTTGCTATCGTTTTGTGCAGCATTATGAAGAGCAGTGATCTCGTTTTGGCTTTTGGCATTAACATCTGCCCCATGCAAAATGAGAGTTTCTGCGACTTCTTGACTATTATTCATTGCTGCAACATGAAGGGCTGTGTATTCTTCAAAGTCTTTTGCACTGATATCAGAACCATGAGAAATTAGAATTTCTGCTGTTTCTTTGCTATTTGCCTTTGCAGCGCAATGAAGAGCCGTCCTGTTGTATTTCATTGTTGCATTAACATCTGCCCCATGCAAAATGAGAGTTTCTGCGACTTCTTGACTATTATTCATTGCTGCAACATGAAGGGCTGTGCATTCTTCAAAGTCTTTTGCACTGATATCAGAACCATGAGAAATTAGAATTTCTGCTGTTTCTTTGCTATTTGCCTTTGCAGCGCAATGAAGAGCCGTCATGTTGTATTTCATTGTTGCATTAACATCAGCACCATGTGAAAGGAGAATTTCTGCAGATTCTGCATAATTTTGTAGCGCTGCTATATGAAGGGCTGTTAATCCATTTTCGTTTTTTGCATTAATATCGACATCATGTGAAACCAGAATCTCTATCATTTCTTTGCGGTTATCTAATAGTGCAAAATGAATAGGTGTAAAACCTTTATTACATTTAGAATTAATATTTGCACCATGTGAGATGAGAAATTCGGTCAGTTCTCTGTAGTTTTTTTTAACTGAAAAATGGAGGGCCGTATAACCTCCAGCACCTTTTTCATTAACGTTTGCACCATGGGAAATAAGAATATCTGCGACACTTTGACAGTTATTCAATGCTGCAATATGAAGAGCAGTAGATTCTTCGTTATCTTTTGCATTAATATCTACACCATGTGAAATAAGATTTTGTATAACTTCTGCTTGATTACAATGGGCTGCCGTATGAAGGACCAAATCTCCATTTTTGTCCTTTGAATTAATATTTGCACCATTTGAAATGAGAAGATCTACTAATTCGACGTTATCTAATTGTGCTGCAAAATGGAGGACTGGGCATCCTTGGCTATCTTTTGCGTTAACATCTGCATTATGTGAAATGAGGATTCTAGCTGCATCAATGTAATTATAAAATGCGGCAAAATGAAGGGCTGAATATCCATCTTTAGTTCTTGAATTAACATCAGCTTTATGTGAAATGAGAATTATCATTGAATCCAAGCTACTATCTTGTGTCGCAAAATGAAGTGCTGTGTATCCATCTGTACTTTTTGCATCAATTAATGCACCATGTGTAACAAGAAATTCTACTGTTTCTTTGTTATTATATCTTGCTGCATAATGAAGTGCTGTACATCCGTTTATGTCAACGGATTTGACATCTGCTTTCGATGAAAGAAAAACTTCGAAAATCTTCGGGAGATTAAAAACTGTTAAATGGACAAAACATTGGTTGATTAAACTAGTTTGACCTAAATAAACAAAGATTGCTTGAAGGTTAAGGTATTGAATGCAATCTAATAAATCAATTTCTAAGTCATGCTCATTCGTCAAAAATGTAACAAAATCAATGTTATGAGATATAATTGCATATTTCATACTTTCTTGGTCTGGGTCAATTTCATTCATGCATTCAGACATTATGTCTGGATTTCCACCCAAAAAAGAATACGAAACACATTTTTGTGTTATCTCTGACTTGAACTTTGTTCTTAAAAATTTAAAGCATTGAACTGCTCCATGATAACAACAAAGTTCTAGTAACGAATTGGTTGGATATGGAAATAAATCATTATTTATAGTTTGTTTTGCATCAAATCCATCTCTTTCTGTGCAAAATATAAACAATTCAATGTTATCATCCATAATTGCTCTATGGGTTGAGTTCCCTTCAAGAAAATCCAAGGAATAATTTTTAGATTTGTTCTTTCTAATTTTAAAATCAGACATCTCTGAAAATATAATTCCATTTTTATCTTTGAGATCTGACCATAAAACAAATGGAATTGCTTGAGATACTCTTGGATCAAAAGTCAAATGATTTTCTTCATAAACTTTTTTGAAAATTAATTTGTAGGATTTGTAGTATTTGATATTGTACTTCCAAGCTAAATGAATCATTGATAGAATCATCTTGGGTGTAATAATTTTGGTATCGATCAAAGCATTTTTGATTTTAAGATAAATATTGTTAATTTCATCTTCCTTGGAGGTATTCAACCTATATAATGCACAAATTGCTGCAGACGAATCTTTGGTATATTCCATTAATTCATGAATTAGTGCATTAGTCATTTTATATTTATGAAGTTTAAATTTTATTCAAAATGAAAACCCACTCCATTCAGAAAAATTGAGATCTAAAATGTGAAAATGCCGAAAAAAATTTCTTTGTGTAGCATTGATAAGATCGTTTCAAATATTTATGACATTTTACTAGTTAAGCAAATTTGATATCGGACTTCTTCACATTTAAGTACTAAAAGATTCCCACTGGGATACTCTAGTATTCAAAACCATATTGAAAATTTCACAAGGAATTAATTTTATCCGTTTAAAACCAAAATTAATAGAAATAGAGTTTAAAAAAAGCGATACTTTTTATCATAAGACATCAATAAAAATAAAAAAATTCAATTTTTTTTGGGATAGGAAAAAAATAAAAATATAATAACTTATATTCTGTGAGAAGCCTCAACTAAGCCTCTCATCTGTGCCATGAACTCCTTGTGGTCGTTGAGTTCTTCAAGGGAGTAAGGATATCTGTATCTCCACTTGTGGTTTGGATCAGCAGGGATGTTGATTCTTTCTTCTTCAGGAGACTGTCTTCTCAAACTTTCGTTGATTCCTGTCAAATCCTGGAGCAAGAAAATTGCCCACATTGAATTTGACCAAAGATTCTGTCTGAGAATCATTTCCTGGAAGTAAGTACTTAATCTCTCTGGGCATGAATCGTGTCTCATCAATACATTGTACCAGAACTTCTGTCTGATAGATGAGTTCTCTTCCCACCATCCTCTCAACGAAGAAGTGTCGTGTGTTGATGGGCAAGCGACAGAAAGATAAGCGAATCTGTTGTAATCATCGAAATCATAAGCAGGATCTTTAGACATTCTCTGTACTCTAAGAGAAAGTAAAGCGTGTTCTTCAATAGATCTTATGATTCCTGCAGTGATTTGACCTAAATCTTCACCGCAAATCAACATATTTGTAGAATCTTTAAGAACACCAAGTTTTGCATCAGCTTTAGCAACCCAGAGATTTGTTTGTCTTCTGTCTGTGTAATCGATATAAAGTTCTTCGAATCTCTGTCTCTGGTCACCAGGTAATTCCAACCATGATGTACTCCAATGGATGATTGGTCCATCTGGTGTTGTTTCAACAGATTCCTTCTTTACTTCTGTTCTCACGTGATAAGTATCTGGTCTTTCTGGATCTTCAATCAACAAAACATTTCCAAGTAATTCAAACAACTTCTGAAGTAATTCCTTCTTTTGCCAATCATTTAATGGCTCATTCATTACAGCGTTGTAAATCTTCTTTTCGTTGTTATATTCAGGCTTGAAATTGTAAGTATCATTATCTTTAGAAATATTTCTTGCGATTAAATATTTCTGAGCGATTTCGAAATAATTGTTAGGGAATTTCTCCATTAAATGTTTTCCTCTTATGTATGGTTTAGTATATCTTTCGATATCCCATAATCCCATCTGTATCAATTCCTGTCTTGTCAATGGATTACTTGGGAAGAAATGTCCCAATAAACCTCTGACACATGTTTCTCTAGGAATTTCCCAGATTCTGAAGAAACCTAAGATATGATCAACTCTCAATGTATGATACAATTCAGCCATTCTCTGTAATCTCGCACGCCACCATGCGAATCCATCCTTCTCCATCTCTTCCCAGTTGTATGTTGGGAAGCCCCAGTTCTGTCCATCGCTTGAGAAATCATCTGGAGGAGCTCCTGCACACATTGTCAATCTGAATAATGATGGAAATGCCCAGCATTCAACGGAATTGATGTTGACACCAATTGGAAGATCTCCTTTCAATGCAACTTTGTGATTTGTTGCGTAATCATATGATTCCTTGAATTGTTTGTCAGCAATGTATTGCATCCAATAAATGAACAATAAATCATTGATTTCTTCATCACAGAGATCTTCGATTTCTTCTGGAGTTACTTTGGAATATTTTGGCCATTTCCTGAACTCCATTGTATGGTATTGATCTCTGAGATAACAGAACAAAGCATATGGTTTTAACCATGTTCCATTCTTCTTCAAAAATGCTTCGAATTCTTTGGATTCTTTGAAATCTTCTTTAACTAATTTGAAGATTCTACTAAGAATGTTCATCTTGAAGGAATAAACTGCTGGATAGTCAACAGATGGTAATCTCTCGAGTTCCCCTTTCCTGTACATCAAGTCATTGTAGATGTCGCTTGGTAATTTGTCGAGAATTGCAAGTAAGTCGATGTAAACAGGATGTAATGCGAAACATGAGACTTGTTTGTATGGATATGAGTCTGCCCATTCTCCTTTGTCCGTTGTATCGTTGATTGGAAGTAATTGGATCAAAGATGCGCCCATTGTGTTGCAAATATCGACGAGTTTCTTGATATCTGTGTAGGAACCAATACCTTGTGATTGTTGTGTCCTGAGAGAGAAGATTGGAACGTAAACTCCGAGTCCTTTGAATAATTCTTTATTTGGACATGCGAACCACTCGTTGATGAAGTATGTCATTGGTGTTGAGTTATCATACTGAGTAGCTGTTGGTCCAACGCATTCTCTGTTCATTGGCTCTTCCCAAATAAATGTTCCGTCATTATTAGAAAGGACGTACTTGTAATCGAATGGGAATGATGTGGCCTTCAAGTCAATAGAGTTTGCCCAGATTGGGAACTTGCCGTCGTCGAGTTTTAAGCCGTGTAATGGATTCCATTCACCAAGTTCTGGAATGGAGCCAACGACAACAACGGATTGTGTACTACGAACGTATGGACAGTTGACTTGGAAATATGTCTTCACATATGTTGGACGAACAAGCTCTGGCTCGATAGGCGCTGGCATTGTAGTGTTAGTGCGACGATTAAGAACCTCTTTGAAGGTTGCACGAGTGAATGCGTCCATGACTGAATCCTTCCAACGATATGTATCGGCAATTTCGATAATTGTTGGGGAAGGAGTAGCACCGATTTCGAGCTTGTGGTTTTCTTCTGGTTCCCAGTGATCAACACCACCTGTTCTTGAGACAATGTACTTGTATTCAATTGTTCTTGGCTTGGATGACAATGGAATCATGAAAGTTGTTGACCAGTAGTCAAGATTGCCTTCAAAGAAGAGAGGAACAGCGTTCTCGGACTTCCATTCTCCAAGCTCTGGGATATTGCCTGAGACATAAAGTTCTTGTCCGTAATGAGTGAAAACACGTGTTCGAAGGCGGATAAGGACACCATTTAGAGAATTGGTAACATTAAATGTGTCGTAGATGTGAGCATCTGTTTCAAAAAGAGGTAATGTACGAAGTGGAATTGTTTCTTTAAGAATTGCTCCGAACTGTGTCTTGAAGAAATAACGGTATGTTATTGGTTCTGTTAATGGCTCCTCCAATTCTATCTTAACAGAGTAATTGTATGGTCCATTTATTTGTGTTAAAGGAATTGCTTCTTTTAATACGTTATTTCCAAGTGCAGGATGGTCGCCAATGATATATGGTATACTACTACCACCCTTCTCGCACTTCAGATAGAAAGTTATTTCGAAAGAGCCTTCCATACGAAAAGTGAAATGATAACTTTCTATCGGGAATCTTTTTTTAGAGGAAATTGGCCGAAATTTGAATACTACAAGATTTAAGAATTTCTTTCAATTTGCTGCCCATCAATTTTTTATAAATTAATATATGAATAGTATACATCAGGAATTTAGGATCCTAAAATTGAACGATAAAGTCATACCGATTGTCTTTACAAATGCATATGATTGAACTTGAAATAAATTCCGGTAGCAAAAAGCAAAGACAAAATTTACTGTCACTATCAGAATTCCATGACCATGCTTAGATCAAATTGTAAGTTATGGTTATTTTTCATGTGAAATCTTGATTTTGAATTCCCTTATGCTGAATACAGAAGAAACACTAATAATTTGCGTTCGCAATCAACATTGAAATTCAGAGATTTGAAACCAGATTAGTTTTTCTTTGTCAGTTTAAACTAATTCATACTTTGTAAACATATTTTATATATAAACATTGATATTATCCTTAAATTTAAAATTTCATTTTTGAAATAAGAACATCTTTTGATAAATGCACAGGATAAAGCAGATAAAGCTGCATCTTGTAAGAGTTTGTGGTCGTAACTGAATATCAAAATTTAAAAATTGAGCAATTGAAAAAAAAAGCTATGCAAAAAACGATCCCGATGTTCTTAATACTATTATCAAATGAATAAACAGTTTCTCAATTCGTTAGTTGGACGGCATAAGTTTTCAAAATTTGTCTTAGATAATTTAGCTCACAATCGTTATTTGGTATATGATAAAATGCTTGTGTTCGTATCAAATGATTGGTTTCGAATTTTTGATAGCTAATGAATGACATGTGGTTTATCATATATGAGAATTTCTGTTGAAACGAAAATTAAATTATAACATTCTCTTCGTTTTTCATATAAATCTTGTATGTGCACAAAAATTTTAGCAATTTTATGAAAAAGCAATATTTTAATCCAGATAAATATAGACAAGTATTGCATTCACTTTGTATACGAATTAAGAAATTGCGCGACTTCTTTAGATTTCTTTAAATATGCGATTGAAAGAGCGGTCCTTCCGTCTTTATCTCTAGCAGATATATCAGCATCATGCAAAATAAGAATTTCTGCTATTTCTTTTTGATTATATTGGGCTGCGAAATGAAGAGGGGTACGTCCATGCTCATTTTTAGCATTAATGTCAGCGCCGTATGAAATAAGTATTTCTGCAATATCTTTCTTATCTAATTCTGCAGCGAAATGAAGAATTGTGCATCCAGATTCATTTTTAGCATTTATATCTGCACCATGCAATATAAGAAATTCTAACATTTTTGTGCAATTGTATAATGTTGCGAAATGAAGAGCTGTGCATCCATTTTTGTCTTTAGTATTTATATTTGCACCATGTGAAATCAAAAATGTGCATAGTTTTTCATTATTAAACAATGTTGAACAAGCAAAACACTTGTCAACTGAACGAGTTTGATCTAAATATACAAAAAATGCAAGAAGATTATTATACATTCCACAATATTCCAGATTAATGTTGATCTTATATTCATCGCTTAAGAATGTAACAAAATCAATGTTGTGCTTAATAATAGCATTTTGCATACATGTATTATCTGGTTTATGGTGTTTCAAACACTTATTCATGATTTCTTGATTTCCAGATAAAAATGAAAATCGAAGACATTTTTGAGTTATTGATAATTTAAATTGCGACTTTAAAAACTTGAAACAATCAACAGATCCATAATAACAACAAATTTCAAGCAATGAAAATGAAGAATCTGAATCAGGGTATAATTCATTTTTAAGTCTTTGATATTTATCAAAACCTTCTCTTTCTGTAAATGATACAAGTGATACTTTATTATTTTCCATAATAGCACTGTAAATAGTGTTTTCTTGATGAATATTTGATGTGTAATTATTTTTTTCATATCTTTGAAAATCATTTTGATCGAGTTCTTCTAAAAATATTCCATATTCTTTGTAGAATAGATAGTTGAATATAGGTTTAACTTCTTTGATGCATTCTGGATGATAATCATCAAATATCTGTTTGACTATTTGTAAATACGCTTTCATATAGCGGTTATTATAGATAGATATTGTTGAAATACTTTGTATGATGAATTGAGGAAGGTAGATCTTTGATTCAAGCAAATTTATTTTGATCAATTTATAAATTGAGCGTATTTCTTCTTCATTGTTCGTTTTTAGCTGATATAATGCATTAAATGAATCAATGCATTCCTTAAAATTATCCATAAATTCATCATATTGAATTGGAATAACGCTTTTATCAGACATTAAAAAAAGTTACAATAGATACTTTAGACATTCAGAATTTCTACGATGCTTTATACATTAGGCATGCCGAAGATAGGATTACAATCATATTAAAACTCTGTGGGTTTTATTTGAGGCAATTATTTTATAGTTATGAAATTTGGAGTAACAGAAACTCCAGCACATTGATGAACTAAAACATATTTTTTGATATTATTCATTTCTTCGGATAATAGCATCGGATGTACATGGTTCTTTAAAGAAAGATAGAAGATTAAATTTAATATACAAAATAAAACACATTTTATTATTCATACTTGATACCCATTTCTTGGCATCGCTTCTTAGTATACTTTCTAAGCTCTATTAAGGAATCATAAGTTAAAGATCTTAAATCTACAGATAATGGATCTTCATGAGCAGGGATTTGTGGCTCATTTTTGTAGAATGTATTAACGAAGAATAGAGTGTCCGCAGGTGAAGTTAATTTTGAAATTGATCTAAATAAACTTTGATATTCGGCCTCTCTGAATGTAGTGTTCTTTTGGCGACCTATGTTTAATGTAGGGAAATAATTTTTGGTTACAGCCGGGGGATCAGAAAGTAATAAATCTAATTGTTTCTCCAATTTTTGAACTTGAGTTTTCCAAAGCATGAAATCATATACCAAATATTTCTCACGTAGCGTTTTGTATCGCTCATTTAAGCATTGAGCAACAAGAAATGGCACAGAATCGTGACCATTGTATTTTTCACAGTTATACCATAGCAAAACCATATCATGTTCCCATGATTCGATGGTTGGGTATTCTTTATTAAGTAATCTATTATAAATCGAAGTAAGGTCTTGTGGAGATTTGATTACATCATTGTAATCTGTTAATCCTGTAGTATCAACAGGATGTAAAAACAAACGAGCGCAGGGATATTTCATCAGCTTGCGTGTGATTTTCATGCAAGCTTGACGTCGAGGCTCAGACATAGACATTTTTTTAGAAAATGAAAAATATCAAACTTTACATGTCAAAATTAGATAATTCTTGCCACGTGTCAAATTTCTTATTTCGGTTATCCGCAACTTTGAATGCTTTTAAATATTTTATTATACTACTTATAAGCATCAATTTTTAACCAATAATTTTTATTATCCAAACCGCCGTTCTACCATCGATTTTTCTGAATTTCAAAAAAATGACTAAGGAGTCGTCTGTTTTCTTCCCCGAAGAAATGCAGCACATCCAATTGGTCGTGCCGTACGAAAGTGCAGGTGCTACAATTAGATTGCTTGCTGAAAAAGACTTGATTCACCTGATTGACGAAAATACAGGCAATGACTCAGTAAACAAGCGTTACACAGAGAGCTACATCCACTGCGAAGAAGCAGAAAGATGTCTCAATTTTATTGGTAACCAATTGGAGCAATATGATCTTTTGCCACCTCCAATCACATTGGCCTCCTTCAATGAACAGGCACAAAACAGGGACATCTCAGAGAACGAGCTTCGCCAGCAGATCATTGAAGCTGATACATCCCTCCATGAGCGTATCACACGCACACAACACCTCGAAGCTCAATTACAGACAGCTGAACACACATTAGCCGCCCTCCGCTTCTACAGACCACTTCTTCAGGAAAGGAGAAATGCAATCCAGGGTGGAGAATCCGATGGTGAGAGATCTTCTGCCTTCGAAATGGAACTTATTGGCGGATCAAGCTTTCTCTTCTCAATCACCGGTGTTATCGATTCATCGAAGCTCCGCAGACTCCTCTACACATTCTACCGTATTTCAAGAGGCAACGTTTTCTCTTCTTCCGATATTTCCACATTTGATGACCAGAAGTCTTTCTTCACAATCTGGTTCCCAACAGAATCAATCCTCAGAAAGCTCATGAACATTGCACAGTCATATGGCGCAGAAGTCTTTGAATTCCCTGCTGAAGATTCAAATCTCGACAAGCTCGAGAACGAGTTGACAAATCAGATCTACGAAAGCAAGAGTGTCCTTAGACAATCTTATGGCGATAACAAGAACTTCCTTCTTCAACAACAACAAACATATTGGTTCAATCGCCTCTTCTACATCCGCGAGAAGCAAATCTACCAGTACCTCGACTTTGCCGACTTCAAGACCATTGAAGATCGCGCTATCTACAAAGGCTGGATCGCTAAACGCCGTGTCGCAGAAATCCAACCACTTGTTGATCAAGCCCAAGAGATTTCTGGCTGCGCTATCCACACAACAGTCGAATTCGATTCAGTTACAGAGACTCCTCCAACATATGTCGAAACCAATTCATTTACTTACGCTTTCCAGCTCTTCAACGATTCATACGGTGTTGCCTGCCACAACGAAGTCAATGGCGGTGCTTTCTACTGCATGTATCCATTCCTTTTCGGTATTATGTTCGGAGATATGGGACATTCTCTTCTTTACCTCATCATTGCCATTTCTCTTCTTTTAATTTCACCAAAGCTTCGTGCCGCTGGTGGCGAAACCAACGACATGATTCTTAATTTCAGATGGTTCTTGTTCTTCATGTCAATTTGCGCTTTCTACTGTGGATTTGTATACAACGAATGCTTCGGTCTTCCAATCGACTTCTTCGGCTCATCTTACGTCGAAGGAACGAAGGAAGGAAAGAAAGTATGGACACAGAAGCCAAACAAGGTCTATCCATTCGGTGTCGACCCAGTTTGGATGTTCAAAGATAACGAACTTACATTTACAAACTCCCTTAAGATGAAACTTGCCATCATTATGGGATTTTGCCAAATGGCCTTTGGTATGGTTCTCCAATTCATCAAGCATTACCACCGCCGTGACTGGCTCGAACTCTGCCTCTCATGGCTCCCACAGATGCTTTACATGTTCTCATTTTTCGGTTACATGGTCTTCCTCATTATCTTCAAATGGTGCTCCCACCATACTCCTGGCGAAGATGGTGTCAACCTCATCCAGGTTTTGATCGGAATGCTTCTCAGCGCCGGTGATAAAATCGACAAAGGATCTGAATCTTACCTTTACCCACACCAGAAAACTGTACAGAATGTCATTGCTCTTATTTTCATCATTACAATCCCAGTTCTTTTGTTCGCTAAGCCAATTGTCGAAATTGTCTGCCACAAAGGAAAAGCACACGGCGGAGTCATGGAAATCTTCGTTATGAACCTCATCGATGTCATTGAGTTCTGCCTTTCAATGCTTTCACACACAGCTTCTTATCTTCGTCTCTGGGCTCTTTCTCTCGCTCACTCTCAGCTTTCTCACGTTTTGTACGAACAGATCTTCATTTTGACACTCAAACAGTACAATCCAGCTCTTTTCTTCTGTGGCTGGGCTGCTTTTGCTGTCGGAACTGTCGTAATTTTGCTTGGTATGGAGTGTTTCTCTTCCCTCCTTCACGCAATTCGTCTCATGTGGGTCGAGTTCTCTTCAAAGTTCTACACAGGCCAGGGTTACGAGTTCAAGCCACTCTCTTTCAAAGCTGCTGCTTACAAGATTGGCAGCAAATAAAAAAGAGTATTCTATAGTTTAATTATTTTCTAAAATTTTCTTTATCATTAGTACATTTTTTTATATGAATTTCATTGTTGTTTAGATTAGCTGTTCATGTTCTGATAACTTTTCTGTACTTTATCCATATCGACAGTCCCAAGATCATACTCTTTGATGGTGTACTTGAAATGCTAACAATTCTACTAATTGGACATTCTTTGACATGCGAATAGAACATTCTTTCATTGAAAATAATATGTGCCTGTGCTACTTAATTCTGTCTAAAAGCTTGACATGTCATGAAACGATTAAACTCAAGAAAATACTTGAGATTACCAAATTTTCTCAAATTTCATGTCTAAACTGATCTTCATCTGTGATACCCTCTCAGTTTTCTGGAGATGGGGTATGTTACGGAGATTTAAAACATGAAAATGAGTTTAATTCGCAATGATATCTCCTATAAAATGAATTAATTTTTGAAAATTTATATGAACTAATGAATACGAAATCATTAATTCAAAAAGAATGACAAAATTTGAGATAATTCAGAAATTGAAGGGAAAATAATCCCAATCAACTAGGCATTAATGAGTGGAAAAAAGCGAGTCTACTATCTTTATGATGATGAAGTTGGCGACTATCTTTACTCACCAACACATCCTATGAAACCACATAGAATAAGAATGGCTCACAATCTCATCTTGGCCTATGATTTGTTCCCTCACATGCATGTTCTCAAACCACGCCGTGCCACAGCAACAGATATGACACGTTTTCATACAGACGAGTATATTCAATTCCTTCAAATGATTTCACCGCAAAATACGAAAACATTATCAGGAGTCATGGAAAAATTTAACGTAGGAGAAGATTCACCTGTGTTTGCAGGCTTGTTTGAGTTCTGTTCTATCTCAGCTGGTGGATCCATCAATGGTGCTGAAATTCTTAATGATGGCAAAGCAGATATCGCAATTAATTGGGCTGGCGGCCTCCACCATGCCAAGAAATCCGAAGCAAGTGGTTTCTGCTACGTAGCTGATTGTGTTTTAGGCCTCCTAAAGCTTTTAGAACGTTATCAGCGTGTTATGTATATTGATATCGATATTCATCATGGAGATGGCGTCGAAGAAGCCTTTTATACTACAGATCGTTGCCTTACAGTCTCATTCCATAAATATGGTGAGTATTTCCCAGGAACTGGCGCAGTTACAGATATTGGAATTGGCCGCGGAAAGCATTACGCGATCAACGTACCTCTCCACGATGGCATTACAGACATAGCATTTGATGTCCTCTTCAAGGATGTCATTGGAACAGCCATTGAATGGTATCGACCACAAGCAATTTTATTACAATGCGGCGCCGACTCTCTAAGAGGCGATCGACTCGGAGCCTTCAATCTTACTATCCGTGGACATGGCGAATGCGTTCGCTATGTCAAATCTTTCGGAATTCCACTTCTTGTCACAGGAGGTGGCGGTTATACGGTCAGAAACGTTGCCAGATGCTGGGCATACGAAACAGCTGTCCTCCTTGACCAAGAAATTGACGATGACTTACCTTACAACGATTATCTCGGTTATTACGGACCAGATTACCACCTCCACTTGCAACCATCGAACATGGAGAACCAGAACTCTCCCGAATACGTGCAGTCTATCACCAGGCAGATCTTTGATAGCATTAAAGCTGCTCCTCCAACTCCATGCACCGGATTAACTGGAGATGACCCTTGTGCGCTCTTGCAAGATTCGGATACAACGGATTCTGACTATGATGTAAGCGATGACGATGATAGATCTGACGAAGAAACTGAAGGATCTTCAACCAACTAAATTTATTGTTAATTTGTATTTTTTCTTGATATATATAGTAAAACTTGACTTTTGTTTATTCTTGCCATCTAAAACAGATTGAATACATATTAAAATATTGAATTTTTTTTAAATATTCTTATTTCAAACACTCTACTATTAGTATTTCATATGTAATAAACTTTATTATCAAAATCATCTCATTGTCATAGCTTGTATGTTAATGTTGTACGATTTTTAATTCAAATTTCATGTAAAAAAGAATTTTGAAAACTTTACTTCCTATAAATAATCATAAAAATCCATATAGATCATTCCTACTGTAATGTTCATTGTAAATATAAGAGATGTAATTTGAATCTTTGAATTCAAAGTTATTCTATTCTCTAAACTAATGCATTGAAGGTGTTTATTGAATAATATTTATGATACATCTTGAAACAGTTAATTTAAAGAAAAAAATTCTAAATAATAATTTTATTCAATAAATAATGTTTTCTATTTATACGTGTATGGTATTTCTAAAAATTTTATGTAGAATACTATGCTTATAAGATCATGTCAACAAGGGATTCATCGATATTGACACCTTCGTTTGCAGCATTAGTATTATCTTCAATCTTGAAGATACGTGTAAGGTTGGCAATTTCAAGAGCTGTTGTTTCCCAGCCGCAGAACAATGACCAATCATTAACGCAAAGGCCTGCTCCAATGAGTGGGGAACCACGGTTGACTGTAGCAGCTGTAAGCTCAACACCGAGCTGGCCAGCAAGTTCTTCAAGTTCCTGAACTGTAACTTTTGTTGTAACAACACCACCACGGTTTGTGAAAACACAGTATGTTCCGACAAGAGATTCCTTGGCAATAAGGCCTGGGAAGACTTCTACGCCAAGAACATCACCAACGATTTCGATTGTTTCCTTATCGAGATCTGGGTGGACAATGGCAACGTGATCGTTGCAAGAAATAACGTTTCCGAGAGCAGAAAGACGCTCGTCAACACGCTGTACAACAACCTTGTCTGGGAGGCAATCTCTCAATTGTTGAAGTTCTTGATCTGTTGTCATTTGTGGAACAATAAGGCCATTAGCGTTACCTGCGCAAAGACGGCCAACAATTGATGTTCCTGCAATTGTAGCATGGAAGCATGGAATATGCTCAGCAAGTTTGGATTCGAAAACTGAGAAAAAGTTTTCAGAAGTGGAGAATGGAAGAAGAGCATATGAGTTTGTAATACGGGCATAAGCACCAATCTCAGAGGAGTTCTGATACTTGCAGCGTGATACCATAAATTTTTAAGGCCACTGTCAAAAAATTTTTGTCTTCTCAAAAGAAAAATTTTTTGGATATTTGTTGGGCATAATTTTCGAGTCCTTTCATTTTCTTTGTATTTTGCATTACCAAGTGCAAGTTATCTTGGTTTCAAGATTTGTTATCACATTAAAATATTGGTTTGATTAAAATTGATACGACTATCTTTTCCAATGGAAAAATTTATCAAAATTATAGAACTATTTCGGGTAGTACAAACCTATACTCTGAAGCAATAGTCGTAGCTTTGACGAAAATATCCATATTCGTTTGAATTGGAGTTTTTCAGTTGGTTGTTTGGCAAATGCAAGTCCTATATATATAATTTTCGTGCAGCATATCAATAATTGTAAATATATTTAAAAATGATTTATATTTAATATGAAATCTGCATTTCATCACATATGACATTAGTTTGATATATGTATTGCTAAAAATAAAATATTAATACTATATTAATATAAAATAAATATTTTTTACAAAATTAATCTTCAATATTTTGACAGTATTCTGCACTCTTCAATAATTTTGCTTTCAAAATTGCAGGATTTCTAAATCTGGCAACATTTGCTTCACATGTGCAAGTAAATGCCCAAATGAGTGGAAAATTATTTTCATTTGTTTCATTTGCTTGAACAAGAATAATTTTATACTTTTTATCTGAATTAGGAAGTCTATTTGTTCCAGTGAAGAATCTGAAAATAGTCAACAACTCTTGAGTTGTCATCAAGCCAAATGCATGTCTGAAACAAACGAGTAATTCCTTATCTTCGCATACTAACATATCAGCAAATTTATCAACGTCGACTTGATATCCCATAGCCATAACTTTGAGAATATATCCGCATAATCCATTCCTTGCATTTGGATAGAAAACCAAATCAAATCCTTCTTTAATTCTAGCGCAAACGGCTGCTAAACTGTTGAAGTAATTTGGATCAGTACAATCAACAAATGTATGTAAATTTCTTCCAGTATTATCAACAAGAAAATCCCATAAGAATTCAGGTAATAACCAATTTCTTGGGTTATTAGTTATTGCGCAAGCAGCAATTGCAGCACCAATAGCAACTGATAATTCTGGACTTTGTGTTATTGATGGAACTTTCGAATCTCTTTCGCAAATTAAAGAATCAGGAGGTGGAATAAAGAATCTAAATCTAATATCCATCAATTCTTCAACCATTGATGTCAATGATTCTCTAAATGGACCACCAGCATCAACAATGTTATATCCTTTGGATAAATCCCAACAAACACAAGTGTAGAATCTATTTTTTGAACACATTGTTTTGTATTGACTTCTTATTTTCATGAATGAATAAATAAAACATTGCTCAGGAGTTTGTGGAACAATTTGATTGTACTCTATTATAGGCCATGTTTCTCCAGTATCGTATTGTGGATTTGGTACACATGGATAACGGAATGAATTAAAAACTGCATTTATTTTCTCGTTAATTTGAATTGTCCATGAAGGAATTTCGAAGCCAGGATGAGCGAATAAAACATCAATCAAATAAATACTTATTGAGTTAAAATTGCAATTTTGCAAAGGAACATGATAAACTCTTGATTCTGCAATTGTTTGATACAATGGCTTCAAGTCTTGTATTTGTTTAAACTGTTTCCATTCATCTGAAACATTGTTTTTGTTGAATGAATAAGAGAACAGGCTAACATCGTTTCTTTGCTGATTTGGCTGCAAAAGGAATTCACTGCCGTTTGTAGACAAAACTTCACAAGGATAAACTGAGACAAAGTTTTGTTGGATATTTCTCATTTTGCTTTGTTTGATGTTTGAATATAAAAATATAGCTTTGAAACTATTAGAAGTAATTGATTCCTTGTGTTGAAGCATTTTAGTAAACTCTTGTTCACAAATGTTCTTTATAAGCAAAGAATGGTTTTGAACATTGAAGAAAATGTCACTTCTTTCATTAAGTAGTTTTTCGACGTCATCAACAATTTTTTGACGAATTTCGAGATTAACTAAAGTTAAGTTTTGTTGATTATTAAAGAAAGATCTTTCAAAGAAATTCAAGAAGTCAATATAATTAACATTCTCGAAATTATAATGTGTTAAATAGTGTTTCAACAAATAATCACTTGATTTCTTGAAATTCAAGAAATATTTGATGATTGTTGAATGATTTCTGTCGAAAATCCTCCACCAATTGTAATAAGCCAATTGTATAGAGTTGTTTGGATTATTCATGAGCCTTCTGTAGTCTGATTCATTCCTAATGTTTGGATTTTGTTCATTTTCTCTCAATTTGTTGTTGATTTTTTCAGTAACTTCGTTAATTTTCGGCTGGAAAATTTTAACCAGTTCTTTAACTTCTTGGGAATTGATGTCTGTGTTCAAATCTAATCTAATGAGTTGAGGAACAAGTACATCAGAGAGATTCTTGGAAACAATAGGCTTAAGTAAACTTAATGAAGCACTTTTTGCCAAATCAATAAATTGATTTCTGTTTTCTTCAGCGTTGAAACCAATTTTTGTTGCAAATGAACTTCTTGTGAGGATATCTTCCAAATCTGTGTCTTGTGGCATCAACTTGTAGCAGCTCAAATTGAGAATATCAATCTTGGAATTTGAACTGGCAGTGACTTCATATAAATTGTCACTTTTTATGTCAGAAATGAATGCATTGTCATAACCGTCGATTTTTACATTCATTCCCAAACATTTTTTAGGGAACAAAACTGACAAATCGAAGTTGTGGTCGAACAGTTTCGGTTTGACAAATTTTGTTTGATTGAAATCAACAATTTGGTAATTTACAGAGTTATCATCAGCGACAGTTAAATGGAACACGAAACAAGGATCAAACAAATCTGTTTGCACTTCAACGTCATTGAAATACGCTTTCGATTTGTTGAAAGACAAAGTGAAATTGAAAGAATCTCCAATGAATTTAAAGTATTTGTTTTTGAGGAAAATGTATTTGTTGAAAACAGACAAGAAACAAACATTGTAATTTATATCAATCAAACCAATGTATTTCAATGTATTTTTCGGTTTCAAAACGAACTTAAACGCTTTGTTTGGCTGTATAAGTGTTGGGAATATTGAGAAAACAGATGATTTATTTGTTCTCGATGCCAAACTTATATTTATTGGAATAAATTTGACTACTGATGATTTGACATTCAGTAACCTCTTCATTTCTCTTATCTTTCTGAACATTTCGTCTGGAGCCATCGTTACATCTTTCGCTGAGTTAATATCTACAACATTTCTGTACAAATTTTGGATTTTTTGTCTGATATCATTCTGTCTTTTTCCTGAACTATCAATATAAGAAATAAATGAACAGATAATCATATTTTGGAGAAGAGAAAGTGGTTCATTTGTTAGCAAATCCATTTTGTTTGTAATTGTTTGTAAACCATTCAAAAGTTGATCGGAAATGTCAAATTTCGGTTTATCAATTCTGAAAGACGGTTTGTAATTCTGTCTTTGATTCAACTTCGAAATTTGAATGATATCATTGTTAACTTTACAAAAACTGGTAACTGCCGTGTCAAAAATTTCTGCTCCCAAACAAATCATTGCTCCCAAAGAAGTACTATCCAAATCATTGATAGAATCAATACAATTTTGTATTAATTTCGGATCAGACCTAATTTTGTCAACATATTTTGACACTTCATCTGTCACTTTTTGGTCAATTTCAACAGCAGAATTATAAATGAACTTTAATTGGTCAACGAAAGAAAGATCTTTTTGTTTCTCAGGTTTTGTTAGTTCAGATAAAACTTGTAAAGCTTGTTTTTTGTCGAAAGTTGACATTGCAACAATTCCTATATTTTTAAGAATTTTTGAATTTTGGGAAATGAAATTATTTGAGATTTTTTGGAGTTGTTTTTTAGTTCTATCATTTAAAAACTTCAAAGCAATTAATTTCTGCATTTGATCATCAGAATCCATTAATATATCAAAGAAATCATCTAAATCTAAATCTTTCCCGAAATCCAAATCAATTGCAAAAGTTCTTGCCAAAGAATTATATCTTGCACTTAGTAAATCCAAGATTTGTTCTGTTGCTGTCTTTGTATCCAGTTTTATTGTGATGATTTCACATGAATCACTTTTAATTGAACTAAGGTTTTGTTGATTTGATTTGATGTAATCAACTGCCATTTTTACAATTTCTTTGTTGTGTTTCTTTGGTGGTTGTTTTGTAGTGAATTCTTTAGCATTTTCATTTATATTTGCTAATTCAGCTACAAAGTCTTTATCTCTGTTCTGACAAACTTGATAAACTAATGACAACAAAGGCTTTGTCGATTTCAAGACTTCAACGATTTGATTTTTATTTCCATTTTCTTTTTTCTTTTGAAAACATTCAAAATCTTCTATAATCAAATCAGCGAAACCAGAAATCCAGAATATCTTCATATATAAATAAAACAATTCATTAACAGCTCTTTCATTAAATTTCTTATACAGTGTTGGTGCAAAATAATGAACAAATCTTTTTCTGAATTCAAACAATTTATCGTCAAAAATGTTCAATTCATATTCTTCCAAATCAAGCATTTGATTGAAAATAGCATCAGGTTTGCGGTTTTCTAGTGTAGCCAATTCATAAAATGGATCAACTTCATTTGCGAAACACATGTTTATTGATTTCGTGAGTATACAAGAAATCAAAATTAAAATTATCGAATTACTTTGTTTTTGATCTTGAACAACTTTCGTTGAAGATATCTGCAAATGTCCAAAAGAATTGTTTCCTATGACTTTGATATCAATGTTAGGGCCTTTAACTTCATTCGATAACTTCTTTTCATTGAGAAAAACATTGAATCTGTCAGGATCCGAAATTGAAAATTTTTCAACATCAAATTTTTGGAAATTTGAAACAATTTTTGTTGAATAATTCACATTCTGTTGAGGAATCAAAAACAAAGGGAAACTAATGGTTTCTGTGATCTCATTTACTTCATTTGTTGATAGATTTCTATCTAATTTTCTGAAATCTTTGAATTCTTTGTGATTTAGTATTAATTCCAACAAATTACATCCATTTTCTGAGAAAATTTCAACAATATGTCTTGCAACATTGTCTTTATACTTCGAAACAGAAAGAATCATCAAAAATAAACTTGTTATTTCAGCAAATTTGGAATTATAGTCTTTGTTCTTTTGCATTTCGATGAGAATCACTTTGACTGTGTCTAAGAATGGACAAAGCTCTTCATCGAGTGATTCATCATTGAGAAAATAGTAAAATGCAGATAATGATTTCAATAACCAATCAGTTTTGAATTGGAGGTCCTTTGTTTTGAGGAAATCTTTGAGATCAAAGAAGATGGAATGCGGGAATTTCAAAATCATCTCTTTTACAGAGTCATCTGAATTTGATATCAATTTTGAGTTGATGAAATCGTTCATTGACTTGTTATATAGTGAATTTGGTATCAATGTAACAATTATTTGCAACAACTCATTGACTCTTGTGAATCTTTTGATGTAATTCACAAAAGTATCTTTTGTATTTTGGTTTATCTTCTCTCCTTTTGCCAATATCTGTCTCATACATAATACAATCAGTCTAAGAAGGAAAACTCTGTAGAATGTGGTGATTTGGTCTCGATCTTTTTCATCGAAATTTAAATTTTGAACAATTTCTCTGTAAAGATTGAGAGAAAACTCAATGACTTGTTCTGGATTGGAAACTATATTGGATCTGCTGCCTTTGTTCTCGAGTATCGCTTGAATTGAAGAATTCATTTCTTGAATTATCTTCAAAGTAATCAAAGAAGCACCAGTGTACGAGGGAGACACAAACATTGGCGGAAGAAGTGTCGAAAATCTGCCAGGTGTCAGTTTTTGGTAGGAAAAGTGGAATAATTTTCCATTGCTGAAGCAGATTCTATGGACAGCATTGTTGATGACGAAAGAATCATCAAAGTAATAATACTGGGTGGTGGAATCATAGCTTCTGTCAGATTGGATTTTATATGAAGTTATTTTGTCATAAGAAATGACAAATAACTTGTCATCGTGAACTCTTAATGTATCATTTTTATTGTAGACCACGTTATCAAGCGGTTTCCTCTCAAAAATATTAAAATCTTTTGTTGAAAAGTAAAAAGGGCTTGAAATAGATATGAAATGTAGTTCATCATCATATACATAAGCTTCAACAATCTGTTCACCAATTTTCTCTCTCAAATCAATTGATTTTTCTTTTCTCTCGAGATAATTCTCTCTGACATCGAAAATCATGAGCTCATTATTGAATAACAACAATATGTAATCTCTGTTTTCATTGAAATCCGTAATATGACATGATTTTCTATCTTTTAATAATAATTGAAGTACATCATTGATTTCTTTGTTATCAATGATATCTAATACGCTGTTTATCTGATTCTCAGAGTAAGTAAATGCATTAAACTGCCTGTCATCGATCTGGAAATCAATATTTTTCTGAAGAAGTAGTTTAATTAGGACTAATTTATTGAGTATGTAGTTCGAATCATTGCATTTCCTAATAAGATAAGGAAAAACTTTCTCATAGCTTATGTCCATGTCTTGAATCTTTGTAATAAAATCAAAAATATATTTTTCATCGAGATTTTCTATGAATTCTTTTAGAGTATCATTGTCTGTGGGTATCTGATCTTTGACTTCTGACGTTTCGACGTCAATTGCATGTAAAGGTGTTAATGTATTGAAATGTGGAAATTTACTCTGTAATATCTCTTTAGATGACTTGATAACACTAGGATATATGTTTTTAAAGGAAGGGATCGTTTGTATTACATTACTTATGTATTCAAATAAAAAGTTAAAAGATTCTTCTTCTGTTAGTTCACCGCTTTGAAGCTTCCGAACAAATTCATTAGGAAGGCCTTCATTAACGTATGGTGTTGGTGAACTAAAATAATTAACATAACTGGTCATTGTTGATTCTTTTTGTTAAAGACGTCTTATGACGGTTTTTTTAAGGGAGGCTTCCGACCAGAAAGCCCTCTCAATTTTTTGTGATGTTTACACCAAAAGTGAGATTCGTTAAGCGTTTTTCTCGTTGAATATTGAGTTTCCCGGATTTTAAGTTATTCATAAAGCTTCTCTATATTATACCCTATCTACTGATATGATTATTTTTGAAAAATCTCTTAAATCGACCTGCACTGAATTTTTTAGGGAAAATTCGAAATTTTATAGGCGTTTTCTGTAACGTTTTTTTACGGAATAAAATCCGAAAAATAATTTTTTGAAGAATCATTTGGGTAGAATACTTATCGAAAATTATATTTATTATAATTTTGGTCGATAAAAATAAGCGGATTCAAAACTGGCAAAAACCCTTTCGGCAATTTGTGGACGATTCCGAACCCCCTCATTTTTGAAATTTAATAAGAAAAATAGAATCTTTATTAAATATAGATTTTAAAAAACTTGGTTATAAATTACGAAATTTTCTCACTTGGGCTAAAAAGTGACAATTTGGTCGGAAGCCACCCTTAACAAAAAGATCTTTTATTAAAAATATTAAGTATTAGGTATGAGTAAATATTTTGTAAGACGACTTTCAATTTAACTTTATGGAAATTTTCCAATAGTAGTAGGATATGACGGGTTTAGTGACTTTTTTTGTTACATCTATATATAGACGATGCATTAAAATATATTTATTTATAAATCATTAAAAAAATTAACATTAATTTTAAAATAATTTATTTTTTTATCTTTTATAAAAGAAGCTATATATAGATGATGTCAGATATTCCGCGATTAATTAAACATTGTTTAAATCCTGAATGGGTTAAACTTCAATTTAAAAATGAAGATTGTGAATTATTAAATGAATATGAAAGCCAAAATAAGCTAATGAGGTATAAATATAATGATAAAGAATATTTAATTTCATGGAATCAATGGAGTCATAATCAAAGACCTCATAAACGAGAAGAAGAAATTGAAAATAATGAAATGGAAATCATTGATGACATTAAAGAGGATGGAATTCCTAAATTTTGTAGAAAAACCTTTAGAACTAAGTTAGGAGCATATAAACGTAGAGTATTAAATCCTGAATATCTTAAACATCAATTTAAAAAGGAAGACTGTGAATTATTAAACGCTAATGAATATGAAAATGCTAAATCAAAACTGAGATATAAATATATTGGAAGTGATGAAAGGTGTAAAGATAAAGTTTATTCAGTTTCATATAATAACTGGCACACGTTAGGGATAAGAAAACATTTAGGAGATTATGGGAAATGTTCTGAATTCTTCAAATCTAGTATATACGAGAGAATAAAAGAAATTAGAAATAATTATTTTCATGAATGAAAGATTCACTAAAAAAAAAAAAAAAAAAAAAAAAAAAGGAAGTGGGGCTTCCAGGCACTTCGTGCCTTCTAGCCCTGAAGATGTTTAGTATAAATGAAGTCTTAGAGGACAAACATGACTATGAGTTTTGATATGACAAGATAGAATATGAGAGAGGTCCTATAAACCGGAGAAAGTGTTATATAAACATCTGTCATATTACTCAGAATATTATACAGAATTCAATAAAAATATATTTTAGGTGAAGAGGTGAGATTTCACCTGTTTTTTCACCTCTTTTCTCACCTCTTGAATTTTCATGAATTTCATCGTAAAGACTTTGTCAAGATTTCATCGTAAAGACTTTGTCACTTTTCTGTCACTTTTTCAGGAAAAAACATTTTTATTATATATATAAAATGAATTTTACAAAACCACCGTTACCCTTCTTTGGAAATAAGAGTAAATGTAAAGATATTATATTGAGAGAACTTAAGAAACTACCGAATGGTCTAACATTTGTAGATTTGTTCGGTGGAAGTTTCTATATATCCCATTTATGTCATACAATATTCCCAGACTCAAAGATTATATGCAATGACTTCGACAACTATATGGACCGTCTCAAACATATACCAGACACAAACAATATATTGAAAGAGTTAAAAGAAAAGATACCTATAGGTAAGATGGAACGTATACCATTAGATAACAAAAATATTGTGAGAGAGGTTTTGAAAAAAGCAGAATATATAGACTGGGATAGTATATCTGCTAGACTATTATATAGTGGTTCTATAAGAGTTCATGACATTGAAACACTTATGTCAAAAGTTTTATATCTTAACTATACAAATGTTTTCAAAGAGGACATAGAAAAATATATTGAGGGTATAGAGTTTGTGAGATGTCATTGGACAGAGTTGTATGAAAAATATAAAGACAAGGAAAATGTTTTCTTTATAGTGGACCCGCCGTTCTATAACACATGGGATTTTCAATACCAAGTAGACTGGACTTTGAGAGACTCTTTAGAAACTTTAGACGTTTTACATAACCATCCATGCTTTTACTTTACATCCGATAAAAGTGGTTTGGAAAGTGTCATGAGATGGTTAGAGGACATACATGACTATGAGTTTAGATATGACAAGATAGAATATGAGAGAGGTCCTATAAACTGGAGAAAGTGTCATAACAAAGAAATTTTACTAGTAAGTAAATGTGGTTTGAAATAGGACTACTTGTTTTAGGTTTTTTCCATTGTGTCATTTACTTATTTGACGTGGCAGAAAGATATAGAGAATATGAAGATGAACCAATGCCTGCAAATGTTCAGTATATGTACTCGTAAGAGATATTTTTCTAATATTAAATGGACGCACAGAACTTAGCGAATGCACAGCAACCTGGACAACCAAACCCAGAGAATATTCCAAATGAAGTTAGAATACAAACTGCAATGGCAAACTATGGTCAAGTGCCAACAGATGTACAAATGCAAACTGCCATGTCAAATGACGCTGCGTTAGGCTTACCACCATGGTATGCAAATATGAGATGGAAAGAGTTTTATACAAAACCCTGAAGTGGGATATAAACAACTTTATGCAGATGACGCGAACACAGGAGTTGACCCAGAGTATGTTTTCTACCAGAGGAGAAACAGAATGTATGAGCTCCAGTTAAAGAATGCTATGGAACTCAACAGGAAACGTAAGAGACTAGGCGGACATTAGATTTTTACATATAGTAAAATGGGTTTCTTCAGTAAGATAGGAAACTTCTTTCGAAATGTTGGAAGAGGTATATGGAATGGAATAAAAACCGTAGGAAGAGGAGTATGGAACGGAGTCAAAAATATTGGTAAAAGAGTAGGTCAGTTCGTTGGTATTATACCTAAAGACCCTGAACCAGAAGAACAAGCTCCTGTTATACAACAGCCTGAACCTGCACCACAGTCTAGTTGGCAACCAAATCCAACACCTCAACCGTATTAAAATTATATTTTTACCGTTCGATAGTAGTTGTATATGAAACTAAGTTCTAAGTAAAACGCATGGTATAATGGAATTATTCTCTTTCTTCCATCTGTAGTAAACCATACTTGAAAGTCTGAAATACTTCCACTTGGTGGTTCATATAACTTTGTAGGTTTTTCGTAAAAGTCATTTGCCAAGCATAAGAAAGAGTTTTGAGCGCCAGAAAATGAAGCATGAACTATAATAGCATCTGAGTCGAAAACATCTTTAAATAAATATGGTTCATCTCTTGCATATCGACTGTAAATATTTGCTAAAGGAAGTTTGACTTTCTGATTTAACATTCTTTGCAAATAATACCATGACATTGCAGTGAATTCTGTATATATTTGTTCGTCTTTCTTTGGATTGTCTTCGTAGATTTGAAATGACACTTGTGAATTTTGTTTGTCATATACAATTCTCACATAAAGTGTGCTCTCGGTATTTGCATATTCATCAGCATATTTTGCATAACATGAATTTATTTTATCTTCTATATTTTTTAACGCAGTCTGTAGAGAAGATGAAAGGTCAACTTGTATTAGCTCAATTTCTTCCCACATTTTTCGTTTCCCTTCAGATATATAATCTATATGAAACCTTACAATAAATGGAAAACTTTTATCTTCTACAGACACAAACTTCATTCTACGAAAGCCAATAGCTTTTGTGACAGATGGGTCTCTTAGCCATCTTAATGGGTAGTCAAAACGATAGCCTTCATGCTTTACGGTCTCTGTCTCAAACTTTTGACCTACGTTAGTAAAAAGTTCATCTAATGGTTTAGTTGTAGCAACTCTTGAATTTTCTTTTTCTATTGAAAGCATATTTTATCTAGAATAAAAATGTCGAATGAAACAGCGTCTATGAGAGAAATAAAACACAACCGACAACTCATTTTGCAAGCTCTAAATAAGAACACAACAAACTTTTCAAACTATTCTAAGATATCTGAGTCATTGAAAGAAGGAAACTTAAAACTGACATTAAACCCAATGACAGACGAGTTTCTGTTTCAAGACAGTAAGAACCATACTGTCTGTATAAATCCAACAAAAGGAACTTTAAACGAGAAACCTATATCTGAACTTCTTTTGAAGGCAGATATTGACAACAAAGCTGACAAAGAGTATGTCATTGAAAAAGTTCAAGAAGAACATGACAGAGCAGATGCAACATATGCAACGAAAGAACATACTCATCCTGAACTAGCAGACAAAACATATGTTGACAATAAAATGTCAAGTGAAGTGACAAGAGCTGACAAAGAATATTCTAAAAAGACTCATATACATACCATTGCAAATATTACAAACTTACAAGAAACCTTAAACAGTAAAAGTGACGTTGGACATACACATACCATTGCAAATATTACAAACTTACAAGAAACCTTAAACAGGAAAAAGTGACGTTTGACATACACATACCATTGCAAATATTACAAACTTACAAGAAACCTTAAACAGGAAAAGTGACGTTGGACATACACATACCATTGCAAATATTACAAACTTACAAGCAAACCTTAAACAGGAAAAGTGACGTTGGACATACACATACATCTTCTGAAATAACAGACTTAAACGTTAGCCTTGA